TGTCCCTGCTTTCAATAGAAGAACTGTCCAACCTGGACGTCATCTCTTTGAGCCTTTTTCATTTGGTACAAAACAAATAAAACCAAAACAAAAATACGAAAGAACGTTTCTACCCTAAACCCATAAGTGCACAAAACTGTGTGAACTATGGAGCAACTATATAGTGTATTTATTGGATTCCTAAGTGTTTAATATTTTAGTTCCTGCTGTTTTCACTGTTTTGTTTTGTTCTATGCACCTTGAGTTCTGCGTATAAATTTTGTTGTACTTTGGTTGTGTTCATTTGTGCTTTTTAAAAAGCTTTTTCCTGACGTTTTATGCTAGTTTGATTGATCTATTCTACAAACAGTTGTTTTGGTGGAGATGTGAAAGATCGGGTTATTGGTCAGCACCCACTCTGTTTATGGTGATGTGTGGACGGTGACACTGGTGTCCCAATGAAACTCGAGTCTTTGTGATTCCTGGATTGTTCCTGAACATCAGGATCAATGTCCTTTACTCTTTGGGCCAAATGGTTCAAATTTGGGCACAATTGTGTTTCCTAGCATGACTATGATCCTGAACACCTAATCATGCTGCTTTTAGGTGAGACAAAGCTGAACTTTATTGAAAATGTACAGACTATGCTTTAATATCAGCACTCTGACAAGAACCCAACCAATTTAAACAGGATCCACCTCTTCTACTGAAAACTATATTATGCTTATTGAGATATAATTTCCCAAGACCTGTTTAACCCTTGTTTCTATATTTTTAATTTTTTATAATCGTTTTGTTATATGCAGTGATTCTGTATGGGTAGAATCGCTGCTTATATGCAGCCGATTGATGAGCAGTCTTCAGTTATCATCTACATTGCTTGACCTCAGTGTCCTCAGATCAAAGGCATAAATGTAAAGTCATTAAGCTGTAATTGGGGTGCCTGCATTCATCCATTTTCTGAAAGCCGTGACAAGAGCATGTGCCTCTGAAGATTAACCACTTATTAACATCGGCTGTGACCTCCGAGAAGAAGTTCATGACTCATGGGTAAGTGATGGGAAGTATAGGAACTTGAGGCAGAATAGTTATCCTGCAAATTAGATATTTGTCATTGTTACAGTCAACGTACCAACATGGATAACTGGAATTGAGTGTCAAGATGAATTGGATTCGTTGGATGATGAGAACCAGCTTGTGCCATTTATTTATGATGTAACTAAATGTTTAACCTTTTTTTGCTCCTGAAAATCTATGGGATGAACTAATAAATCACACAAGTGATTAAGAATTCACTTAAAAAGGCTTAAACATCCCCCAGGAAGCAGATCCATAACCCAATCAGCCCTGAATCCTGCAGGCTGTGGAGTGGATGATGGAGCTAATGTGGCTGAAGGAGAGCTGCCAGCTCAGGTTTTCCATTCTCCCCTGTCACTCATCCATGTGTTTACTGAAAACCATCACACACAACCAGGGCAAGAAAAATAACTGCAGGATACGGAGAGGTAAAGTGCGTAGAGAGAAAGTAACAAACACACATGCTGAGTGATATGATGACAGTAAGTAAGTCTGAATTGAAAAATGGTGTTTAATGGTAATTTGTCTCTCCTCTTTTTATATTTCTGTAAACAAGCCAGCTCTTTTTCACAATTTAAAACTTCCTTAATATATAACCATCACACACAAAAAAAATAAAAATAAAAAAATAAATTCCCTTCTCACCCACCGCGGGTGAGGTGGGTGAGAAGGGAGGCCTGGGAGCTTGAGGGTTCTGCGCAGTATCTTGGCTGTGCCAAGGACTGCACATTTCTGGACTGAGATGTCTGATGTTGTTCCTGGGATCTGTTGTAGCCACTGCTCCAGTTTGGGGGTTACTGCCCCGAGGGCCCCGATGACCACAGGCACCACTGTGGTCTTCACCTTCCAGGCCCTCTCCAGTTCTTCCCTGAGGCCCTGGTATTTCTCCAGTTTCTCCTTTTTCCTGACGTTGCAATCACTTGGTATTGCTACATCTACCACAACGGCTTTCCTCTGTTGTTTATCCACTACGACAATGTCTGGTTGGTTCGCCATTACCATTCTGTCTGTCTGGATCTGGAAGTCCCACAGGATCTTAGCTCTGGCGTTCTCCACCACCTGGAGGTGTTTCCCACTTTGATCTCGGGGTTTCCAGTCCATATTCTGCACAGATTTTTCTGTACACTATGCCTGCCACTTGGTTATGTCGTTCCATGTACGCTTTCCCTATATTTTTAAAAACTCTGATTGCCAATTTTAATAGTGCAGACAGAAAATACACCACAATATGGTATTTTTGCTTGGTTATGTTTAGGAGAATAAAACAACACTGGTTATGTTATTGTGTTTATCTGTAAGAACAGAATTACCTAAGTCAATGCAATGTTCACTTAAGTTATTTTTATTTGTTATGCTATCAATGTTGTGTCTTACTTTCTTTGGAAACTTGTTCACGCATCTGGTTGAATTTTCTGTCAGAATATTAATACAAGATTCCAATGTGTTTGCTATAATAATATTTTTTTCTTATTAAATGTTTAAATATGACTTAAGCAATTATGCAATTAGGCTGATGATCTAACCTAACTCTGTATTAATAGAAAGCCAAGAGTAACAAAGAGAGTTTCTTTGTCAAACTGTGAAAACATTTGTTCATACTGTACTCCTTTCACACCTTCACTGCTTGTCTGTGTCCGTGACAAAGAGCAGAAAGCTGGTGTTTGTTCAGAAATGCTGATGTCTGTCCTTTAGGTCCTGTCAGCTATACTTACAGTCAGTGTTTATAAAACGGCACAAGGTGCCTATAATTTCATTTTGCCTGAAGGAAGGAGGAAGATCGCAGCCAGCGTTGCAGCCAGGAGGGTTGTTCTACTTTGAAAATGCGTAGCGGGCTGTCTCTTCACACATTTATGGAGGACACTCTCACCTCTCATGATGGCAGTTATGATGTCATGAGATCAGACAGATTCATGTTGCAACAGAAAAGTTCTCAGGGGATTTGCAGACAGTTATTGTATCCTCAGGGCAGCCTGAATACTACTGGAATATGCCGAAGCTAGCAGATAGAATATCACGTCAGTTGTTTCATTTTAAAACGCAGAGCCTTGTTCTCACATTTCCAGGCTTAGATACTTGGTTGATTATATTTTTAATTGATTCTTTCACCATGACTGTCAACAGAGAAAATTAATCTAAAATGTCAAAGTTATGAAATGTTGGAAAATCTGTAAATATTCTGTAAAGTTTCTAGACTTCCTGGGTTGCATCACAGCTTCATAAAGTGGCTGTCAAAACTTTGCCCACAAAAATCCTCGTTTGAGGGAGACGGAAGTGTGAGACCACAATAAATCATTTCTGAGCTTTTTCCAACTTCATTGTACGATGATCCTACTCAATTGAACTGAAAACCAAACTAATCTGTTTCATGAAGAAGAAGAAATGAAAAAAAAATTTTTTAATCATTTTCCTGAAACATTGAGATATTTATATATTATCGTGATAGATTTTACTACTTTGCCTATTCAGTCTTTAGTTTTGTCTAAATTTGAGCTCATAATTCATTTTCATAAAGAGAAAAACATTTCATTGCTCAGCCAGTACTGACTGACTGAGTGTCCATTAAGTAGTACTCTTGCAGTGTACAACTGTGGTTTTACCTCAAAATGAAACACCATTTAAGCTCTGGTGCATCTGAATTAAAACGTTTAATGTCCTATACCCTCTTCAAATTGTGCTGTATGGTTTTCTTTTTGCCAAATGTCAGACAAAGGGAGTGAAAAAACCTACAGGTCCCTAAACTTTGCTTTAAATACCTTTGCTGCTCCCCAACATCTCATATCATCTTTTGTTATTTCTGAAACCAAAACTCTTTGTTTCAATGACAGTATCAACACTATCCGATGGAATTTTTTATTTGTTAGAAAAAAATAACACTGTATTCTCAAAGAACGTTGAGATGCAGTAGCACTTGTTAAAAAACACAATGCTATGTACTCATTTACTTGTTTACTCATTTACTTTGCAAACTAGTGGTTTGCAAAAGTATTCACAGCCCTTGAACCTTCATATATTTTATGTTACAACCATAAAATGACATTTTATGGTTTATGGTTTTGTGGTTGCATCACTATGCATCCCCACTGTACAACATGGTAGTGGCAGCATCATTCTTTGTGGATCCTTTTGTTCAACAGGAGCAGAATTGGATGGGAAAATTGAGAAAGTTCAATATGGGGTAGTCCTGTTAGAAAATGTGTGTAAGGCTGCAAAAGGCTTAAAAATGGGATGGCCGTCCTGTGACATACTGACCAAACTTCAAAAGAACAATCCAGTTAAAAAATATAATGTTCCCAAAGGGAAAATAAATTACAGATCATTCAAATCAAAACATAAAATTACTTAGGAATCTTGGACAAATACGGAAACATTTTCACAAATGTTTTCCATCAGATCTGATTCAGTTTGAGGGTTTTTGCAAACCTTTTTCATATATAGGCATAAATGTCAGAAGAGTTACAGCTGTAATTGCAGAGAAATGTGTTTCCACAAACCACAGAGTCAGAGGGCTTGTAAATAAATGCACAACACACTTTTCAGAGTTTTGTCAGTAAAAAAGAAAAACATCCATCCTTTTTCTCTCAGTTCAGTTACCCTCTATGATATTGAGTTCATACACTATAAAATCAACAGATAAAATTTAAAACATGGGAATAAAGACCAAGGGGTATCAAAACCCCTGCGGATCATTGTATTTAAATAAAACAAGTTTTGAAGCCGAATAATGCGGGTCACCTGTATGAGTTGATCCTCGACTCGTAAACATCTGTGAAAGACGAGCAGCCTGACTCTGAGTATCATCATCATCATCAGCAGCAGCAGCTCCTCCGCGAAGCCGAGTGCAGGCCGCTCTCCCGTGCTCTTTTCTCTCTCCTCCCCCTGCATGTGATCCGCCCATCCCTTCCTGCCAGCTGCCACTTGCCGTATCGCAGTGATGCTGCTGGCGGCCGAGTGGAGGAGGAGAGAGAGGCCGCCCGCTGCCCAATGACAGCGCAGGATGCTGAGAGAGGCTGTTGGGCTTGAATGGAGGCGACAAGATGCCGTCCAGAGCGACCAAGGAGACCAACTGACATCTGAAAAGGTATACCTGCATCTGTTGACGTTTCACCTCGAAAAACTAATATGTGCTATTTGAATGTTAGAGAGAATGACGCCTGAAATACGGAACGTGTTCGCTCGCGTTTTTTTTTTTTTTTTTTTTTTTTGTTTGTGCGCGTTTTTATGAGCGACACGCCGGGGTAAAAAAAAAAAAAAAAAAAAAAAGGCAAAGGCTGTGTCTATTTAACCAAATCTTTCCTGCCCGCTTAATTAAACGAGACAATATAATCTAGCCGGTTCCTGGAAATCAATATTACGTTATAGACGCGAAAAGGCGATGACAGAGCGCCGCTGTTCCTAAAAATAAAGATTTCCCCCACACGACAGGTTAGTGTGATATTTCAGGCGAGCATAGGCCCGGTGTGCTGTCAACTGCTCGGTCGTGCCCTGCTAGTCTCCATCAATTCCACCTCCAGGTCAAAGCTGGCAACATATTTCAATTTATAGGAGCTATTTTTGAGCAGCAAACGCCTGCAAACGCTGGCGTTTGGTGACGTGAGTGCTCGGGCCAATTTGGAGACATTAACATCTCACCGAGTCCACCAAGCGTTTGAGTCTGGAGGAGGCATGGAGGCGTCAGGCTCTGTAGTAGAATGACTGATGAGGAGGCTGGATGTGTTGCATCTGCTCCTGCATAGAAATAGCAACAAGATTCCCCTACATGTTATACGTTCCCCAATGCCATATAAATCCACACATGGCATTATTTTGTATGATGGCTTTTTAAATGTCAGGACTGCCTCATTGAACAACCGGCTTCTTTCTCCGAAGGCAGTTCCTGTGGAAGAATCTTTGTTTCAGGATATTTGTATCCTCTCTGCTGTTTCTGTACCACCACACAGCCAGATGCATTTTCCACGTCACCTTAACTCTGGCATTTGCTGATCAGACGTACATGTACATGCTGCAGCTCTCTCACCTCCAATACAGGAAGAGGGGTGCAAAAAAAAAAAAAAACATTGTGATCCAGGTCAAAAAACTGGTCTCGCTCAAAACTGTGCTGTTCACAGATTCATAAAACTGAAGAAATGAGTCAACAAATGGGTGATATGGCCCATTACTCTGGGCACCAGAGTCTTCTGGCTGCACCATGCAAAGTTACAAGGCAATATAGCTCATTGCCCTGGTTGCTGCAGTCTTGTGTGTGTTTCATAGCAATTTACAGGACAATTTAAATCACTTTGCACGGCAGCACTGTCTTGTGGATGTGTTAGAAAGTTTTAAAGTCAATATGGCCCTTAACCCAGGGCAGCACAGTCTTTTGGGGATCCCATACAAGTTTAATAGAGGGCTTGTTTCAGAATTGGCTGTGTTTTTAATATTTTCAATTGGAACAGCTGATATATTTTCACATTTTCAGAGCCATGTCAGAAGAGTCGTCTAATATTTATTGTCCTGTCAGCGAGTGGACGCCTAAACCAAATCATTCAATTCCCAATTTATTTCACTGGTGTTTTGGTAATCAGCCATTTAATAGCTGTGCGTTTTATATTATTATATTGATAGATTTTGAAAGTGATAACTTGCATTAGACACATATTTGACAAATGAAATTGTCAAGTATGTGTCTAATGCAGTGAAAATCTGTAAAAAGCCTTCAAATAGTTTGGTCTATTGCAGAAACAGACTCTCATTCATTTTAAATAAATAAGTAAACAAATAAATAAACAATATTTAATTTGAATTAATTCATTCAGTGGGAAAAAAAATTCTGCATAAGAAATAATATTTTCTCACAAAAGCATCACCCATAGAAACTCCTGTTAAACAAATGAAACTGAAGCATTTTTTTTCTGAGGTCATAGTTTTGTGTACATTGTCATGAGTACTGGTAGGGGGAAATAAGTAGTTTTGACATGGAGGCACATTTCTGTTCCTCATTCCCTCATGGGGAATGCAGAAAAATATTGCATTTAAAGTTAGGTAGATTTTTGTTAAGTCTCATAAATCAAATGGTATCAGAAATTTAGCTGAGAGGAAGTTTATCTGGCTGCAAAGCACAGTGAGGAGGATGATGCATAAAATTTAAAAAAGGAAAGAGGAACAAATAATTCATTAATTAAAATCTAATCTTAGCTCAATCAGCTGTTGTAAACATAAATTAATCATAGCATTTACGTAAAAGAAAAGTGGAGTAAATAAAATGATTTTAAATCAACACAAAAGTCAGAATACATGTGCAATTAAACTACTGGCATAATTCAATTAAAATAAGGTTAAATTAGGACTAAATATTTAATTTGTAAAAGTCAGTTATAGGCCAAGCCCTGAAGATAAGTCTTTTGTTTACTTTACAAAACTCACGATTTTTATACTGCAACAATTTTCTTGATTTCTTGTGGAAGTCCACAACAAACCGTTTAAGTTAATTTACTTTAAGGAATTTTCAAATAAGTGTCTGTAAATGTGGAGGTTGCTGCATGTTTCAGGCAAACTGACAGCAGTGTAAAATTAATATCAATAGGAGGAATACATGCTGTGGAGTATAAATGAAAGTGTCGTCATCACATTCCAGATTTTAAACTCAGCAGTCCTGCTCTGCTCACATAATTTCCCCATTTAGTTACAGTATTCCTGAAAAATCCTGTTCCACTTATGTAACTTGTGGCCGTAACAAGAAAGCATTAAAAACGGTGGATTGAGTATGCAGTCTGGAGCTGACATTGTTTGTGGTAAGGAAAGGAACGTTTGAAAGGCAAAAAGAAGTAGAAAAAAAAACAATGGCGGAGTGACTCCCTTAATCAATGACCCATCAGTGGCCAGGAACAGAAAAGCTCACCATTGCTGGGTCACTGACTCAAAGATGCATCACAGGAGATGCAGCCCAACACAAGAACTGATTTATCTACTCTACCAGTGGATCAAAGAAGCAAACACGTGTTTATCTTCCCCAGAAGTGTGCAGGACGCTGGCTGGAACTTATGCCGGATGCTGTTTTGTCTGAATCCTGCTGGATCTGCTTTTCCCACTGATATATTTACCCACCAGTCCTCACTGATCTGATCTGGCTGCATTTCTGAACTCTGGTCTTCTGTTTGTGATGTATATTTTAAAGGAGAACAAAAAGAGATGTTCTGCAGATTCTTTGTAAATTCTAGTAATTATGAATCTTGCAGGAAGGGAATGTTATTCCCTTGCATCAAAGCAAATGTTGCCAACCTTTACATGATTTTTTTTAAAAAAGAAGAAGCATTGGAGAATATTTTTTGTGGTATTTATAGTATTAAATGCCAATAGTTCTTACTTTTAGAGGAAAGATGATCAGATTTTTCACAAACCGATCATAGATGAGTAGAGATCAAGGTAAATGCTCATCTGTGGGCCTTTTCTGATGCATCTCTTCAATGTAAAAATCAGAAAATGTTCTCATTGTAAATTAAAATTTGTTGTTCAGCTTACTTTTATTTAGGATTTCCATGTTTACGCTCTTATAACTTTATCTGACAGATGGAAATGACTTTCTCAATTTAATGTAAAGCACCTGTCATGGGAAATTTTAGTGACTTTTATATATCGAAGGAACCAGTTGACACATGGATTCCTCATTTTATTAATAAGCTCTTCATCTGTCCTTTGAATTAAAGACATACAAGAATTAAAAAACTGAAAAAAAACAAACCTTCCCCTTGTCACTATTGTTGTATTCAGCCACAGTTTCTTTGATTGATGTTTTGAAGATTTCTTCCACCTTCATGTGATGAGGACAGGTGATTTGTCTGCGCTAGCCCAGACATGAAACACCATGGCAATCAAATCTGAGAAGTGTCACCAGGAGGAGAGAAAGATGAAAAAGTCTACACGAATATGATTAACCACCTTTTTCAACCGCTTAGACATACCGGTATTGTTCATCCTTAGACAGCAGGGGAAATTAAAAACCCTGGACAGTGTCTTTCTCTTGACATTTGTGTTTAATAGCATTCAGTTTTTACCCTAAAAATATCGACCACAGTAAAATAATGATGCCTTCAGATTAAATAAATCGCAGCCAGTGATAAATCCAGAAATGTATTAAAGCCAAAGGACAGCATTAAATAGCCCAGCTATTATTACATGATTAAAAATTAAGTCTCCTGTATCATGTTATTTTTCTTATTACCCAGAAGGAAGAGCTCTATTTCAAAACTTGTACATTCTTGCAATTTTATTAATCTTTTGAACCTAAAAAGGTGAATAGGGCTTTATCATTAAAATAATGTATGCTTGACATTTGTGGTGGTTTCTGATATTTTTCTTTCTAGTTTAAGTCTCAGATAAAATACATGTTGTGTCCAGTTCTTACAGTCAGACTGTGAGCCAAGCTGCACTCTGTCAGTAAATATTTATCAGTTAGCTTATGAGACAAGACAGTGCTGCAGAAATGTTGCTTTATTTCTTTTCCAGTATGTCTTTATTTGTCAGAATTATTGGTCTTTCTTCCTTACTTTTCTTTCTTGTATTACTCTGCATACACACACAGAGCACCAGCACTTCTGTGGACTATATAAAGGCTTAAAATAAATGTGTTTATTGCAGTGGCATAATCTCATACTGAAATTTTAGTTTTAACACATCCTGTCAGTGGGGGAAATACACTACTTTATTTTTACTATTTATTTTAGACTTTATCATCCTTGCTTCCAATGCTGACTGATAGCAAAAATATGCAATCACACTGTTAAAGTTTTGCATTATTGCCTGGATTATACATGCAATAAACTTTTAGACAATAATTTATTTCTTTGTAGCCATTTCCTTAAAGATCAACAACAATATGCCTTTCTTTAATTGCATGCTTGATTATCTTTGCAATTTTGAGGGTTGGCTAATAGAAACTGTGTCATATTTATAACCCAGGAAAAAAATTAAGCTATGAGAGACTTATTAAAAAGTTTCCACTCATCTCCCTTTTTTTTTTTTTGGATTATGCTAGTGCAACAAAAGCTGATTTGTTTTAAACCTTTCTTCACGTCTTTACCAGGGGTGCCAATAAATCTGCTTGATCATTTATATGATAGCTAATTAACAAAGTGCCTTAAGAAACAACACTTCTCAGAAGATGATGATGAGCTTGATATCACACACTAAACTGCTAATTGGATCTGTAATGTACTGCATGGTTGTACTGAATCTGTGCTTGAAAACAAAGATAATTAATAATCAGATGGATTCTCAGTGATTAAAAATGTACTGATATTTTGTGAAACATGCTCCTCAACATCTAAAATGCTCTCTATGGTTATCTTTGTTTACTCTGATGCAGTGATGGCTATCATGATTCAGGTCAGAGAAATGTGAGACTGTAAAGTCATATTTTAATCAGTACTGAGATCTACTATAGATAAATGTTAGCCTGTGAGACATCTGGGATGATGTTGTGAAATTTCTGCAGGCCATTTGAAATTAGAGCCTCGTAAATTGGGACAGCTTGTCGCCTACGCTGACTAATACAAATCTTAGAGCTAATATAACATTTCCTTGACCGAGCTTAGATTTTTGACTGGAATGTACTGTTTTGTGTTGTTTTTTTTTCTGAAATGCTGTATGTCTGACAAATGCTTCTCCCCTGTTTCCTCAGATCTGACATTGATGTGACCTAACCCACCCATTCAGACATGAAATAAGTCATCCTGTTTGGTTGAAAAAAGTCAGAGCAGTCTCATTTGAGCACGCCCCTGTTAAAGGACCCTCTGGTGGCTACTCCTCTGAATCACGGGACATGTACGGCAGTGCCAGAGCTGTAGGTCATGTAGAGAGCAGCCCTGTACGGTCCCCGCGCCTTCCAAGGTCCCCCAGACTGGGCCATCGAAGGGCACACAGTGGGAGCGGGGGTGGTGCAGGGGGCAAGACCCTCTCCATGGAGAACATCCAATCACTCAACGCTGCCTATGCTACTTCAGGGCCCATGTACCTGAGTGACCACGAGGGCGTGGGCTCCACTGCCACCTACCCAAAGGGAACCATGACTCTGGGTCGCGCCACCAGCCGGGCCATGTACGGGGGTCGCGTCACAGCCATGGGCAGCAGCCCCAATATTGCTTCAGTGGGGCTGCCTCATGCTGACCTTCTGTCTTACAGTGACCTGGGCTCCCTCTCCATGCTGCACGCCCACCACCACCAGGGGGTACCCTCGGCTCTGCTCAGGCAGGCCGTGCGGGGCAGTGGTGGCGAGCTGCTGGAGATGCAGGCCCAGCTCAGGGAGATGCAGAGGGAGAATGAGATGCTGCGGAGAGAGCTTGACCTGAAGGAGAGTAAGTTGGGATCTTCCACTAACAGCATCAAGAGCTTCTGGAGCCCAGAGCTGAAGAAAGAGAGGATCATGAGGAAAGAGGAGGCGGCTCGAACGTCCATTCTGAAAGAGCAGATGAGAGTCACCCATGAGGAGAATCAGGTGAGACCACTCCTCTCTGAGCTGCCATAATCCACTTAATGCTGCAGTGAATTTTACTCGCTGCCTATGTGTCTGCCCATTTTGCTCTGCTTTGATCTCTGCTTTTGCCATGCTGTCTTTTGCAGATAATCACAGCCATCCTCTCTTATATGTACTGTAGAAAATTAAAGCAGTCAATTCTGTTTTTTACAGATTTGCAAAACCTTTCTGGAAAGATGTTCTTTTATTGACAGAAGTATCTCTTCATCCAGTGAAGAATCAATAAGACTTCAGCTACAGAAAATACAGGCATTTCAACTAAAAAGGAGTACAGCAGAAATCTGAATATTAAGTTATTTGTGGCTCAGTGAAAAGTCTGATGACACTGCCGACAGGTGTATTGAATGCAGTCTGGTCCCGAGATCGCTTAATTTTGGTTTATTTTCACAGGTTCAGCAGATTGGCCCCAGGGGAAGAGATGTCAAAAGGTTTTTTTTTCTGCTTACCTCAGTGTGGGGGTGTAGTCATGGCCCAGTTAAATCACTTACTGACAGGAGAAGGCACAGGGCCCAGAGACAAATGTCAAGGACACTTAAACACTCCCCATCTGTCTTCCTTTGCCTTCTCTTCATGTGCTCTGACCTGCAGTGTTTACTTTGGTTCATATAGTCGTTTCTACAAAAGATTTATCACCTTTCTATCTATTTTAAGTGATTGGCATAAAAATAGCCGGAGATCACTTTCTTTAATGTCAGACCTCACCTGCAGGATTATTAATAGTTGGGTAGCAGTTGGTGAGAGCGAACACATAGCCGCTGGCTTAGTGGAAATGTATGACACTGATATTGTGTCTGTAAATTGTGGATACAGATTTTCAGTGTAAAAGCGTTTTCAGAAAGCAAAAGCTGAGTTTATGATGCAGCATACTGAGCAATGCTTTGAGCAGTTTAAAGGCTGAGTTCGCCTGGCTCTTTGTGCAGGGCATTGTGTTTGCTCCAGCTCTGTTTTCATAGACTGAAGAAACACGATTAGTCATTACTCTACCCTGCAAGGTCCCAGTGTAATACCACCAGTGAGTTTTTCCACACAGGACTTGTTGATATTCTTATAAAAGATGGAGTTTTGTCTCTGCACATTGCTAAAGAATTTATACCCTCTGAACATTTCAATATTTTATTAACCCAATAGTATTTTTGTGCCTTTTGTGCTTTTTGAGGATATTTTATGCGACACAAAAACTCAAAGCTATGAATAATTGTGAAGTGAAGAAAAATAATTCAACGTTTCATATAGATGAATCTATAAAATGTGTGATGTGCATTTTTTTAATCAATCTAATCTCAGTATCAATCCATTCATATCTATATATAAAAATGCAGTAAAATTGGTGAATTATTTACATATGGAGATTATTTTTTGTATATACATATAATTTTTCCTCCTCATTCCAAATTTGTGCTGCGTTGTGTTAGTCTTGAAAAAGTGTTAAAAAGGTCCAATCACCAGTCAATCACCAGAAGTATTCAACATCATCATGATCTGCAATAATTTGAGTCTGTGTTAAACCTGGATCAGCTGTGTCACCGACCGAACCAAAGCAACTCAGCTTTTCACATTTCTTCATAAAGAGTTTTTAAACCCACATTGTGATATTTTTAGTTGGAACTCCTAGAGTTTAGGAACTGAATGTGTCCTGCAGATTATGAAAGCTGTTCACTGATGGGTTTCCATGGGATCGTCTTTGAATCAACGAGAGGACTCAGTGCTTATGTCAAGTGATATTTATATTCTTCCTGGAAGGATTCATTAATGTAGTGTGGCAGCTAATAAAAGGCAGATGTGCCTTGTTGCTATAATTGGTCTATTCTAACTTGATTTCTGGGCTCTGAGGCGTGCTTACATAAGTGTATATTTATGGTGGGATGGTTTGGTCACACCCACTAGGCTTACTGAGAGGCTGACTGAGGAGCAAATTGCCTCATTAATAATGGAGACATTTCAAGCCAGTCATTGCATCTGTCTTCTAGCACCACTTTTTACAATTGCATCAGGTGCCTTAGGCCCCTGTTAGTTTCAGCAAATACCATGCATCATTTATCATGAGGTAATCAGAATCAGTATGGACTTCTGTTTACAAAATCTCCTGAAATAACATTCACTTTCTGAAGACGTTGTTTTCTGTTTAAATACCCTGCAGAGCCTCAATCGTAAACAGTGACGGTGATGGCCAGCAGTCATGATTAGCCTGAGACCGTTTTGTGTGGTAGATTTTTATTGTGAAGGGCAACTGATTTTGTTTTCATTGAATTGAGCAGGAGTTTTGTTGTCATGCCGAAGCTGTATGAGAGCTGCTGGAGGCGAGTGTGTGAGCTAGAGCATACCATATCTGACTGAGTCATGACCACTGCTGCTCAGCTGCCCAGTCAGCCCTGATCAGCGGCTCTCACAAAAATAGATCCCGCTTTGCACCTTCTGCACATGCGAGCAAGACTTTAAGTAAATCATGCTGTATCCCACCCAAATTCTGGATTTTCTATATCCATCAACACGGATAAGCATTTATGGTTGTGTCCATTTGAGTGTTATATAATGCATGGTGTGGGACGGGTGAAAATTTAATTAGAGGTAATTCCCCTGGTGTAGCCCTGTAATCAAACAGAGCAGTGTACTGCTCATGTGTGACAGATGAACTCACAATTATTTGTTTACACGCATGTTTTATAATTCAGCTGTGCAAACCAGGTGCTGCACATCAGTGCAGGAAGTTGACTTAACTTCCACGCTACAGCAGTCACATGATGACGCTTTGTCACGTGACAACCCTAAGCTTTTGGTGCCTTAGAACAAAAAACATTTCACATTTTGTCATGTAACAGCTGAAACCTTCATGTAATTTATTGAGATTTAATGCAATAGAAAAAAACAAAATTGTGGAAGGAAAACAATATATGGTGCCTTGCCGCCTTGCTGTTGAGGTGAAAAGAGAGTCTTGCATTTGTTTTCATTCATTTATTACTGTTTTATCCCCAAGTAATATCATCTGCATCCAGTGAACATGGAAGAAAAATTGAACAAACAAACAAAAAATGAATTTGGCACAGATATAATTCTTCCAAAACATGGCAGTTCACATTTCCTGACAAGTAGGGAAGACGGCCATTAATCAGACAAACAGTAAGAGGCCCATGGTAATTCAGGACAATCTGCAGAGATTAAGGTTGTGAATCTGCTGACAGGACATCTGTCAGTCAAGCACTTCAAATATCTGGTTGTCAGGAGTACCAAAATTATTGAGTTGATGATCTTGCCCTAAAAAAAGCCCCCGTGCAGGTTGCCACAAACGAAGAACGGGGGTGCATCTACACACATGTGTTGGGGAAACAACAAACAGGGTTAAGATGGTGCAAAGGAAACTGGCCACTCGAAGGAACCTGAAGTCATAGTTTATCTGTACCCACAACTTGAGGAAAGAAAAGTAGCACTACTGATATGTTTTGTGCCACCAGCACTCACAGTGGTTATCTGTGGTCATGCAGAACCCAGTTTCATCAGCCAGTGTCTTTATGTTGCCACTTGAGCAGCCGCCTGTAATGGGACCCAGAGTTTTGGCGATGCCACTAGTCGAGGCACTGTATGGGAGGACACAGGGAGCTGTATCAGGATCAATACCTTTGTAGAGTTCTTTTTTTGATTGTTTCACATTATGGCAGTCTTCAGTCTTTTGTGACAAGGAGAACCATAGCAAAGTGTGTGGGTGGTATTGAATACAAACTGGTTCCAGTATGGGCCCTGTGACTGCCAAGCGGTTGCATGAACCATCTGGCCTCATGCTAACCCACAAAGCAACCCCTATCAAGTGCTGCTAAAGCTACGTAATCACACAATAAACAGCTTCCTCAAGTTCAAGCATTTTAATAAGATTTGATTAAAACAGAAAATATAAAAGAGGTCTTTAAAGATGGTTTATTTCTGTGCACAGAGTGGCATTTTTTAAAGTCTCAGACTGTCAGATTTCTGCAGGCACCCCTCTTGTAACTTTGTGCTAACTGAGGGGAGGTGATGAAAAGCAGCATTCGCTTGTGTGGGTGTAATTGTGTATTGTCAGCTATCACGACACACTACACAAAGATTAGGAACGGTGTGAACAGTAGGCTGCTGCAGCTCAAGAGCTTTGGAGTTGCTCATTTATTCTCACAAAAAACACAACCTTCCATGTATATAGAGCATTACATGCAGAGCAGCTGGTTCCTGTGTCACCAGATGGTTCATTCTGGAGCAGGGGTCATCATATAATTGCTTAAGGGGCCAAAATAATATTTTAAGGCACACAGTGCGGGAGCCAGCCTTTAATTAGGCATGTTTTAAACAATGGCCTGTTTGTGTGACACATTTAAAATATTGCTGAAGTAAGTAGATGGGATGTTTTGTGACATCTAACAATTCATATTTGTTCAAGAAAATTACACTTTTTCTTTAATTTAAGTGAATATCTGGTTGTGACTTTATCAGTGAATGAAAGCAGAAATGGTCAAAATAATGACGAATTCAAAATAAGATAAGAGAAGAATAAAAAAATATTAAAAAAACCTGGCAAGAGATTTTGAAATTTGGCAGCATTATTGCCATCAATGGCTGCTCATTGTACAGTGCAATCCAAAAGTTAATTCCTCTCAAGCTTTTGCCACATTTTTTCGCATTGCATTCCAGTTTTTCGCAATATAATTTACTGAGTTGAGTGAGTCATTGTGGTAAACCAACAAGAAGAAGCACAACACAACCACTCACGTGAGAGAAAATAGACGTGGTTTACTTTCTTTTACAACTATCATACAATATATAAATACAAAGATTGTGCTGTTTACTTATTTTCAGCCTCACTGAATCAATACTTTGTAGAAAGATGTCTCATTGCATTACATCTGCAAGTCATTGATGATGTCTTTGTTGATGTCAATATTTCAGTGCCCATTCATTCTTTTTGTTTTTAACTTAGATGTTTTTACCTTCTTCAATCTTCAGTCGCAATTGTCTTGGGGGAAGCTCAACACTGGCACAGGTAAAACTGGCCCCCACAAGTCAGACAGAGTAACCCCTCTGCTAAATCACCACAACACCTTTGTTAAGGCATTTATATGGCAGAAGCCAGAACCTGAGTCAGTATGTGATGTTGCCCTCAAAAGGATTCACTGTTTCTGCACCACAAGATTTATGACAGCCAGTTACCCCCAGCTGGCCCAGGTGTCGGTACAATAAGGAGGCACAGAAGCTCAGCGTCTCTGTTTAGTGTTGGGAAACTCTCTGGGATCTGACCGTCAAGGTGTTCAGGAACAGACAGAAAACCCCTGGTGACCACAGCACCAGTATAAGCTGAGTCATGACTATTTCACACAAACAGCTACACCTCAGCCGTGGCTGACGTGGAGAAACCGGACCGAAGGCTGTATAGTGATTTTAAGTCACAGTTCAAACATGCAGATGCAGCCGCTGGATTGTTTTCTGCATTTTGGTTTCCAAGGCAGAAGTTTATCAATTGGTGAGGAGGGATGATCAGAAATGAGAAGGATAGATCTGAAAAAGAGGAAAACGTTTGGGTTTTCTTCTCAGTGTGGGCAAATCTAAGCATCATTTGCTTGCTGTAAAAAAAAAATATATTCTTGTATTTTTATGCACCTGCAAAATATTTTCTGTAAACTTTGGAATCATGTTTGGAACATAATTCCAAAAATATATATATATACAATATTTATGAATTTTATGATTTGATCTAGGAATCTCTACTTTCCACTCCCATGTATCATTCTGAGATGAGAGTAGGAGCAGAATATGCTCAATGTTAAGATTAGGCTTTAGCATCTTCATATTGCTTCATTTTTTCTGCTGCTGTACCAAAGGCCAGTGGCTCAGACAGGGTGTTTGACTGAAACAACCTGTCATGGCAGCAGCCAGCAGAAAATTCAGCAGCTTTTACTGGAAATGCAAACACTGTCCCCTGGTGGTTAAACAAGCACTTGGGAAATGTAAAAAAATAATCTTGTGTCTTTTGGTCAGAATTTTATTAGTGTTTATTTTTGCCCTGCTTATTTTCCTGTTGGTTGTATGCTTATAGGACAAAGTGCTTCTGAGTTTACTCATTAAATTAATCATGTTATCTTTCTGGGTAATGTAAATCTGTAGGGCGAATGTGAATTGTGTTGACTATTCATCCATGTTACAGTTTAATTTTCTATTAATGTATTTGCTGGATTTGAAAATCGTACAGCAAAAAAAAAAATTCTCAGTTGTTCCTTTTACTTTAAACTTGAATATTAATGCTTCTCATTACAAATTTTAAGATTAGTAAATATATTTTAACAGTTTAGTGGAAAAAACACTAAACCTACTTTTTAAAATGTCTTTCCAGAAAGGTAATTCAGTTTGGGTTGTACATGAAAAATCTTTTTTCTGGCACTCTTTTTACTTGTTATAAAGAAAAAAATGTCTATCTATTAAAACTATGCACATCCTTTGATCTGGCTTTCTTGAAACTAATTGTGCTAATAGTGCTAAAAAAGCATAATATTCTTTTATTTTTCTTATAACAAGATAAAAAAGTTTGCAATCAAAACGTTTTGTGGTAAATTTGCTTTACTGACTGCAAGAGTGATAAACCAGCAGCTCTCATGTAAGATTTTTCTGCTTTGTGTTGATCATCCGTTTCTGTTGCATCAAGCTCTGACGCTCTGTTTTCACCACACATCTGTTTTTCTGTTCATTCTGTTCATGCTCTGCAGCTGCTGGATGCCAGGAGAACCAAGGTTTGTCCCTATGTTTGCACCGTGTCGTGTGCACAACATAGAGTCACCTTTCGTGTGCCGTGTATTTTTTTTCCAGAAACCCAATAATCCCTTTTTCTCCTAACCCTTTAACCTCCTTGAAGAACTGAATGAAATCCCCTCAGTCCCTCAGTTCTGCTCTCCTTCTTGCCCCTTGAATCCTGATGTTTCAACACAAAGACCTGGAAACAGAAAGTCATGTTACTGCTCTGCAAGAATTCAAACCATACATTTGTAGTCTGTGATACATTGGTAGTCTGTGAAGGTGAATGATTTCAGGAGAAAAAGCTGTTTCTGTTCTCCAAGGAACTAACTGGACCTTTTTCAGTACATGGATGGATCTTTGTTTCTCTCCTTCTTTTATTGGAGGAAAGTTAAACTTCTAGCAAAACTAAACCTTTTGTCATAAATATGGTACAAATATCCTTTCAGACAATAATATACACATGGGTGGAAAACGTTATAAACATAATAACAACATGAAGTGTCAAAGTTACAATATCAATCCTATAACATTAGTTTGGTAAAGTACAAAAGCCACATAAAGAAATGTGTTTTAACAAAGTCACTGTTGACTTTTTCCACCCTTCAAAATAGGGCTGGACGACATGGCTGAAAATTGTATCATGATATATGTTTCATATCAGTCAATATTGCTAATTATCAATTAGTTTTTTGTTTTAAATATCTGATATTTAAAACATACCATCAGTTTTGAGGGGAAATCAAAATCCATAATTTTCTCTTGATTTGTTTTCTTCTTTTTTTCTTTTCACTCCACACCGTTGTTTATTTTTAAGCATTTATGAGACATGGTGGCGAAATCTTAAACCGCCCAACAGGTAGTTACTAGGTAACCGAACAGAGAGTGAATTGGTTGATGCCACCTCGGTTGGCAGACCGTGAGAGGATGTGCAACTCAACCCTTTCTCTACCTATATCCCCCAGAATGCCATGTGGTTCTGGATTGAAATTCATAGAAATTATTGAATATTCTGACATATTATCTATTGATATGAATCATGTGTCTACCACAATATATATAGTTATTGATTTATTGTCCAGCCCTATTTCCAAATAGAAAAAAACAAAAGAACATCTTCTGAATAAAGAACATATTTTGATTTTTCAGGCAGTGGCTAAAGCTTCAAATCTCACTCTTAGGGGAACTGGTGCTGAGTTTAATCTTGTTAATCTACTAACCATTAATTAAGACGGTGGTTATTTGATCACTTAAGTTGAATAACAAAATAATCGCTTACTGCCTATACGTAGGTGGCACAGTGGTAAATTGTGTATGGAGAAGCCTCAGCGTTGCACAAAACCGCTCCGGATTTTCTCTCCTGCCAGTCAAAAACAAGATACTGAGGCTACAATTCCCAGCTCCTATTTTCTAGGGCTACTTCTCGCTGGACATTGCATGAAAATGATAGCAAGGTCACTGTACGTCAACGAACTCCACAGTCACCAGATCTCTACTCAAGAGAGAACCACTGGAATGTGACGAATATGAGATTCACAACATGAATATGCAGCTGACAAATCTGCAACCACTGCATGACAATATGACAAACAAGAAAAGATTTCTTCTTGAAGAAAGTTTCTGACGACTTGCCTTAAAGAAATAAGTCACATCTAAAGACAAACATGACTCCAATACTAACTAGCAAGGTGTATTTAATAATTAGCAGTGAGTATATAGCACACGCTCATTTTATCAGTTGTTGGTTCAAATAACTCAACAAATACTTTTTTCTATTGATTGTGATCCTACTGTTTATTAAAATACTATCTTAATCACTTTAGAAGAGTTTGTAGATTGTAATTACAACATTAACTGATCATTGTTGATCAAAGTTGTTCACAAAAGAAAACTAACCTCTTTCCCTGAATGTAAATGTTATTTTACATGTTTTACTAGTTGATTGATTGTTCCTGAAGCTCCTGCTATCAAATGCACCAATGCTGTTTTTCTTTGTGTCATTTAAATACAAACTACTAAAATGATGACTGAAAATTAATGGATTACATTCATTACTTTCTTTATTTTGTCGCCTGTGTTTAGGTATTTTTGTGATATTTAGTCGTGAAAAGGCATTTTCACTAAAGTTAACATTGAAGACATTTTCAAGACGTTGAAACTTCCATATAACTTATGCAAGTTTATATTTAGTTTTTAGTCCTTCCATATCCAGACTCGACAGACATGTATGTATCCATAATTACAGAAAGTTTTGAACTGAGAACTGAGACCATCTCAGTTACTAGTTGATTGATTGTTCACATCATTTCTGTCCCTCAGTGTCTAAAGGTAAAACAAGAAATTCTCCCTGGTCCTGACATTAGAAGAAATAATTAATTGTTGTGTCAAACAGTGCTAATTCTCTGAAATTAGTTTTTAAAGGTGCTGTAATGTAAGTACTGGTGTGTCAAGGGTCAGACCTTCCCAGTACTGTACATTTTGTCATTGATGTTAGTTTTGAGTAAAATAAATTAAATTGGATTCTGTTTTATTCCTGAACTCATTGGGTCTTTGTGTGTGTGTACACGTCCATGTCTGTCCACATCTCCTGCAGCATCTCCAAATGACCATACAGGCTCTGCAGGATGAACTACGCACACAGCGAGACCTCAACCACCTGCTTCAGCAGGAGAGCGGAAACCGATCTGGCTCGGAGCATTTCACCACCATCGAGCTGACAGAGGAGAACTTCCGCCGCCTGCAAGCTGAGCACGACAGGCAGGCCAAGGAGCTCTTCCTGCTTAGAAAAACCCTGGAGGAGATGGAGCTAAGAATAGAGACCCAGAAACAAACACTCGGTGCCAGGGACGAGTCCATTAAGAAGCTGCTGGAGATGCTGCAGAGTAAAGGGCTGCCTCCCGGGCCGGGCAGGGCGTCCGAAGAGGAAGAGCAGGAAAGAGCCAGGCGCATTGCTGAGGCAGAGGCCCAGCTTGGACACCTGGAAGTAATTCTGGATCAGAAGGAGAAAGAAAACATCCATCTACGAGAGGTACAACGTAACAAACAGTATTTGAAATTTAGTATGTGTCTTTGTCACTAGATGGCAGTGCTGAGCATCATAAATTCAGTGGACTCTTGTCTGCTGCTTGAGATACATTGATTATGTAACATGTACTGTGAAGCACTTTTGTAACTGTGGCACCGTGAACAGAACAGATGCATATGGTTTGCATTGTATTTTTATTTATCCTTTGCTCTTGTGTAGAAAAAGTTAAAAATTATTTTTGTTTTCCAAAAGGAACTGCACAGAAGAAACCAGCTTCATCAGGATCCAAGCAAAACCAAGGCCTTGCAGACCATCATAGAGATGAAAGTAAGAACTTGACTCCACACAGCAGCTCTGCAATTGTGTGAAAGCAAATGTTGTGTGTTCATTATGCTCCCATTCTCAAGCCTTTCATTGCGTTTCCCACAGAGGCTGATGTGTGTTCTGCTGAATCTATTGTTGTCACTGCAATTTGCTGCAGCTGAGTCAATCACCAGCCTGGCATGACATCTCTGTCTCTCATTCTCACACATGGAACGGTGCTGTATCAGCTTTCAGAGCTTTTGTGCTAACTTGAACGAGAGTCAACATTTCATCCTGTTTGGTTAGTTGAAGAGGTTTGCGTCAAACTGAAACAAGAAAAGGTTTGTGACAGCCAATGTGATTCTTTTACAATCAACTCCTCTCGTCGCTGACTGCAAACATAGAGCAGACTTTGATTCTGCAGAAGCTCTGGAGGTTTATATAAAATTTTCCATCAAGATTTTTTTGGAGGATGCATAGAGCTTCTTTAGTGTGTTTTCTGATCTTGCATATCTGAAATTAAAGATCAGGAATGAATAGTTTGGAAGTAATTTTACTCTAGAAGGACTATAATTAATTTGCAAAGCTAGTAATATATGGTGAACAATTTCACTATTTGTGAGCTTACAGTCAAAAAAAGTATTTTATAGTGACGGATCAACACAAGGTAATATGTGAAGTAAAGCAAAAAGGACAAATGATTTTCAAAAGTTCACTGGAAATTAACTGCACTGTAAACATCCTCCACTTTAAAGAGAGAAGTGCCAAGCTGAACCAGGTGGCTGTAAATATTAATTCAGTGTTTGGAAGCATGACCAACTTGGACTGAATGTCCTCATTCACTTCCTTTGCTCCCATTACCAAAACTGCAGACAGACTAAAATGGAGCTGAAAACCGACATGAACAATAACTTGTCCTTCAGTTTTCTTATTGGCCCGGTAGAAATTTTACCTGAGGAATTCAACTGTTGCCTTGCAGCAAGAAGGTCCTGGGTTCGACTCCTGGTCTTTCTGCATGGAGTTTGCCTGTTCTCCCTGTGCGTGCGTGGGTTCTCTCCGGGTTCTCCCACAGTCCAAAAACATGACTGTCAAGTTCATTTGTCTCTCCAAAGTCTCCCTTGGTGTGAGTGTGTGTGTGCATGGTTGTTTATCTCTCTGTGTAGCCCTGCGACAGACTGGCGACCTGTCCAGGGTGTACTCCGCCTCTCGCCCGAAACGTTTGCTGGAGATGGACACCATCACTCCTCGTGACCCCACTAGGGACCAGAGTGTACAGAAAATGGATGGATGAATGAATCCAAGTGAATGGTAGAAAGCCCAGACTGTGAAGAGAAGCGAGTTTGGAATAATGTGGAATAGCATAGGAAAGCAATGACCATGCTAGCAGACCTACAATGGACATTATCCAAGTGAAAATCACATATTAAAATATCTTGTTCAAAAGCAGAGCAAAAACTGAAGATGGACCATCTGCACTCAAGTTCAGACTCTCAGAATGTCGTCTCTTTACCCAAGGACAGGACAAGCAACAAAAAGCTATGAGAGCTGGCATATCAACAGGTTTTTGTGAGACCTGACTGCTCCTTATCTAGAAGCCGTATTTGGCAGATGAGCTTCAGAGTGCCTTATTTGCAGCAAAAGACTGATGTGGAAATATTGACTCAGGAGAGCTGAATGCAGAAATATGCCACACCTTTAGATTTTTATTTTCAAAACATTTTAAAAATATTGATCACTTTCCTTTCGCTGTACAGTTGTGTACCACATTGTTTCAGTCGATTGAATAAAATCTTATTGAAAAGAGATTGAACTTTTTGTTTGCAACAAAACAAAATATGGAAAAGCTCAACACACTGTAGTAAAGCTTTTAAACTAATTATAGGAATGAATCTAAACATGTTATTCAACAAAGGAAAACATCAGTTTCAGGAGCCTACCAACAACAAATCCTATATTTAAGACTATTTTGTTCATCTGTTTTAGACAACTAAACACAGATGGAGAAAAGGATAAAATGTAGCTAGTAAAAAGGGCATTCAATATCACTGTGACAGTGGAGAATATCAGGAACATCCAGCTACTGAGCTGCTGTAGACAGCCCCAGCCTCACTGCAGAGGCCTGACATCACTTCCTCAAAATAAATCATGACATCATCGCTAAGCTGACACAGCCCCTCTCGCTTGGCTGCAGCGGCCCAGCCTCCCACAGCCTGGTCATGTGACTTCGGGGCGCTCTGTGCCCTGTTGATTATCATACCGGGCCAGGGAAGTCCCGCCCCCTCCTCCTTCTCCTTTTGCTGTGGAGGAAGACCCTGCTTCTCTCCTCTCTCCCCGTTCTGTGTTGATGCTGATGGAGGCGCGAATAATCCTACCTCCTTCCCTCCCTCCCCCTCATCTCCATCCCTCCCGCCTTCTCTTCTTCCTCACTCACCAGAGACGGTGCACCGTATATAGCCTGCCTGCTGCTGCCATGGAAACAGGTGTGGTTGTTTATGACAGTGAGAGGCCAGTATGCAGGGATATGGAGAGACAGAGGGATGTACAGATGCAGGGACAGATAACGAGCACAATTCACTGACCAGGTCCGTGGGATAAAATCACTCTTCTCTGAAGGTACGGCGCCTCATGTCTGTTGCAGAATTGTCACTTCATTGATGTTCTTCTTGTAAGGTGAGATGCAGCAGCTGGGCGAAGTGCATGCACACGAGCGGCGCTCTACGCATTGACATTAAACTCCCAATCATTCATTTCTCATTACAACTCATCACCCATGTTGTTCAGCAGGCTCCGGCTGACCCTGCTAATGGCTATAAGTTCAAAGTTCAAAAAGAGGAAGGACGGACAACATTAAAAAAGAGAGAAAGGCAGGAAGAAGCAAGGTAGCTCTGTGCTCTGCTGGAGAGGGAGATGAACCATGGCTAATCTTAAAGACGTAGTATTATTTATTTAAAAAGCCGTGAAGCTAAAGCTGGTCTCTCAGTCGCAGTCCAGAGACTTGATTCTGCATTTGTCTGCAAGCCTCCACAGCTGAAGCTAGAGCTTGTTACTTTTTCCTTTTTATTTTTGTACTCCTCTTTCTGTTCCTGAAGGATCAGTTTGTGCTGGATGTGCACTCAATATTTCCCAATGGTGATTAATCCTTTGAGCCGCTGCAAAGAGCTGGGTAGAAAGCTTTTGATTTCCCCGACAGATACTGCAGTTGTTCTGAGCCAAACCAGAGAGCTTCTTCCATTCACTCTTTATCTCTCTGCATCTCCCCTTTTTACCTCTCTTCTGTCTCTCTGTCTGTCCAAATCTTTCAGTCTTTATATTTATTCATGGACTCTTGTCTGGAGTTCTGATTATTTTTGCAGCACTCGGCAAGTGGAAATGCTGGTCTCGGTTTTGAGGTGTGTCTCTTTCGCGTGTTTGTGGGCAGGATACCAAAATTGCCTCTCTGGAGCGCAACATTCGAGATCTGGAGGATGAGATCCAGATGCTGAAGGCGAACAGCTTACTAAACACAGAGGATCGAGAGGAGGAAATCAAACAGATGGAGGTCTACAAGAACCACTCCAAGTTTATGAAGACTAAGGTAGAGGCCATGTGCATGCGGGATCAGAAACAGGATTTCTCTTTAATCTCTGTTTTTTCAGCTGAGATGATGATCCTTATTTGCTCACAAACTATGCTCATCTATTGTTGGAGGTTTGGAGAGGAAAACAAATTCTTGGCTTTTTATGATGGAAACGTTTGAACACGTCATTTTGTTCTTTTCATTTGCACAATTGAAATCAATAACTGATCACAACAAATCCAAGGGGAAACAAACAAAAGGTGCAAAAACCCCTTAAAGAGCTGATTATGACTTTCACTTAACTTCAAAACACATGCTTGAATTGATACAGGGGCTCTTTAAAACTGCACACATCCCAGTTACAATGCAAGATTTCTGACATTTACAAAGAAATCTTTCATATTTTCAAAACTTTTTCAAATGATAAGACATGTTTAATTGAAAAGCATTTTCTTTTGGAGGAAACATGTAAGAAACAGAAAAAAATACAAGGATAGAAAAAATGTGGGAAGCCTTAAACTAACAATTTGTTGAAGTGTTGGTTTTCACAATTAATGTCGTCTGTTGAAAACATCCAAACACTTTTGATAAAATGTGTATATGTGGTATGATGAAGAAAACGAGAGCTTCTCTGCAATGATCCCAAATATTTTTCACACAGAAAAAAACTTCACTAGCAAAAAATCACACCTGGAGTGAAAGAGACCTCCAGGTGTCTGGACCATTTTTTTCTTTTGTTCAAAAGTTTTGACAAGACTATAAGATGGTTTGTAGACTTTTGAGAGCCAGTCTATATTGTCAAATCTTGCACGTGTTTGTATGTCAGTTGTGCAAATTAAGAAGCAGTTGCAAGAATCAGTGGTTCCTCCAAGTCAATTTATCTTCCAGCCAATTCATGTCCTTGTTTCATTACCACACAATTACATTAGCATTCCTTTCTACTTGCATTGCATACCTCTGAACAGAAAACATTGTACTGATATAATGAAATCATTGAGCATGAACTTATTATTTGCTGGTGTTTTTCATCAATTATGAAGTCAGTCATAAATTGCTTAAATCCATCTGTTAGTCGTAACTGAAAATTTCATTTTTCACTGTTTTTTTTTTTGTATCTATGTTGGTTATTAACCATTTATAAAATTGCTGACTTTTACTAAATATGACCCCCTGATCAAACCAAAATAACTCTAATCAACCTTCAGGTGCGTATTACTATTTTTCAAGTTTTAAAACCACATTTACATAACAGGCAATGCACAATAAAATCTATTACAGACAACTTGTTAGTTAGATAGAAGGACTCATTTTGATGTTTTCAAAAATATACAGATATAAAATGACGAAGGGAGTTAAATGACCAGCACTGTGCTGCTCACAGTGCCGGTTTAGAGGTTTCAGATTAAAACAGAACTAGTCACAAAGCAGCCACAGGTTTGTTGCTCTATTTTTAAACCTCTTTTCATCAATCATGAATAGGGACAATGTATAATATATGACAAATGGTGGGGAGTCAGCCCAAAATGCATTTTTAATGAGAGAAAACTGTTTTGATGAAGACAGTAGTCCAACTGCAATGTATAGCTCTCTGCTCAACCAGAAGGTTCAGCTATAAGGATTTCTATTGTGTGTTGAACAGATTGACCAACTGAAGCAGGAGCTGTCAAAGAAAGAGTCGGAGCTGCTGGCTCTGCAAACAAAGCTAGAGACCCTCAACAACCAGAACTCGGACTGCAAACAGCATATCGAAGTGCTCAAAGAGTCTCTCACTGCCAAAGAGCAACGTGCTGCCATCCTCCAAACAGAGGTAGTACAAAAAAAAAAAATCCCTCACTTGTTTGCCAACTCAACAAAACACAAACATTCCCATTTCCTCCTTGGGAAATTTTAAAATGAAACATTGCATGCAGGTGGACGATTGTTGCACCTTGTACTGTGTCAGGACATGCTACGCAAAAAATGAAGCTAAATAACGGTGGCTGTATTAAGACTGCTGTCTTGCTGGTACGTGTTGTAAAGATGCAGGTCAATGAGGAAAAGTCAAATAAGCAGTTTGGATGAATGGTGTTTTTTTCCGCTGATGCTTGAGAACAACCTTTTTTGCAAACAAGTAACTTGAGTCATCAGAAAGAAAGCTGTTTACCCTAAATAGACTCAAGTGTTTTACAAGCTCACAAAAAACTTTTAAATTAATTTATTTTCCTATTCCTACTCCAATTAACTCTTGCCTCACTAATATAATTATAATTTAAGGAAACTGCCCATTTTGCATTGAGGCATTGCCCTTGGAGCTTTTCCCCAAAACTGAGCATGCATATGGCAGCAGTGGGAAGGAACAATCCCATTTTGACAGGAAGAAACCTTCAGATGGACGCTCAGATAATGACTGTTGGCGCGTCAATCTGCTGCGACCATCTGAGACTAAAATCACAAATGAAAGAATTTAAAGAGGCTGTTGAAAGAAAGATTTGGTGGGTTGAACCATAATTAGGTAACTTATTGCTATCTGTAAATACTTTATATTTATAGATATCTTACAAGTGTAAGTTATTTACATTTGTTTAAGTACCTTAAAGTTAATATTTTTTGTAATTATGTTTTTAAATTCCCAAACAAAAGTGACGTTAAAGTGATGCAATTTGCAGTTTTATGCAAAAAAAACAAACAAACAAACAAATAAAACACAAACAATATGCAGTGAATTTAGGCTCTTTCTTATGGTATTAAAAACATGAACTTTTAATCTGAAATGTCCAGTTTCTTACGTAGAAAAGACATCATCTGCTGTTTTGTCCTGGGTACAGTTATTCCTGAAATGACCAGAGACAAATGTGGGAGTCAGAATTAGAGATTGAAAGTGTTTCTCACATTTGTCCCTCCAGTTCTTTGCTGGGCCAGAAAAGCAAGACCTGAACTCACTTTGGGCAGTGAGTATGTTTCTACAAAGTGCCAACAAAACCACTTACTTGATGAGAAAATTTTATTTAGTGTTCAAATATTATTTATGGGTTAAAATTAATGCTTTTCTGTCTTGCTAAGTTCTGTATCTGCCCTGTCATTGCAAGATCACTAAATGTGTGTGAACAAAAATAACTAAGTTCATACTCATTATACCCCAGTCAGGTGAGACATTGCAACAGGTGAAGTGAGAAGCTCTTGGTGTCTCTCCATTATGACATCTGTCAGCAGGTTGGATATATTTGGCAGCTACTCAACAGTTTTTCCTCATTGTCGATGCATAAAGAGGAAAAAATTGGTAAGGTGTCAAAATACGCTCGTGGATCACAGTTTGCTAAAAAAACGTTTTTTACCAAATATTTGACTAAATGTCTTTACCAGCAACACAACCTCAACATTTCTTTTAAAGAAATAACCCAGGAGTTGTTTTCTGCATTAACCGACTTCAAGGTGAAATATCTCTCCTACAAAGTCTCTATTTACAGTATCATTTAAAAGCTGGATGAATTGGAGCGATCTTCTAAAATATTAACGGCACTGAAAAGCACGTTTGATAAAAACAATACAGTAATCACTGTAACGTTTTCTAAGCTATTTGAGTGTGTGCCATTCTTCAGGTCGATGCTCTACGGCTGCGTCTGGAGGAAAAGGAGTCCTTTCTGAACAAGAAAACTAAGCAGCTGCAGGACCTGACAGAGGAGAAGGGAACTCTCGCTGGAGAGATCAGGGACATGAAGGACATGCTGGAGGTTAAAGAAAGGAAAATTAATGTTCTGCAGAAAAAGGTGAGAGGAGCATAGAAAAAAAAACTCACCCTGTTTAAAAGTTGAAGTTGAGGAAAAATAGCTGAATCTATTGTATTATTTTGCCGTCGCTATCTCTGACCACACTGAACCGTTTGGGTGTAACTTGTAGTATTACTCTAGGAGTCATCTGAAATTTAAAACAAAAACAGTGATGCAATGGGATGTTTTATCAGATTACTGTTTCCTGGACTGCAGTCACTCAATAAAAACACAAAGCAGAGTATTTACTCTCTCCAAGACGACTGTGAGTTTATTTGAGAGACCTGAGTGTTCAGACAAAAAAAAAAGAAGAAGAAATTTACTTCAACTGCTTACCTTTAAGATGTGCCTCTATAATTATGATAAAGTGGTCACTAATTGATTTTATTATTATCTAGTTGTGACTAAAATGTTAACTTATTATAAGTTCTGAGAGTTCGCAAAGCTGGGATTTTAATTAAACTATTTGCTTTCTCCTCTTACTACTTTGCTGTACTATTTCCAATGTCTTTCCACCATAACAAGTACAAAAGTGTGAAGAAGAGACAGGAAAAAATGTTATGACCAGCACAAACCCTGACAAGATTGAGACATTAAATCACACTGTAACTTTTAAGAAGGTATTTTTAAATTGTTAGATAACAAAGCTGGTTTAAAAGTGCAGCTACCGAGTGTAAAAAAATTGAAAAGAAAATGATTTTTTTGTTTTAACAGATGAAGATAAAGAGAACTGACTGAAATCTATCAGATTTTGGAGTGACTGACGGTGAAAAACTTTCATATTTCAAACAAAATAGAAAAACTTGTGGTGCTTTCTTGTCCATCATTACACCCTGTTACAACTGTGATATCACAAAGAGCTTCATTGTGGTTGGCAGTGTAGTTTAAACAGTATATCTGTCTTTGCGTGAGTTTTAAGAATCAAATTTGTACGCACCATTGGTTTCACCCTCCTTTAGCAAATGCAGCCACCTATGTGCCTGTCTGTACGCACAGGCATTCATTTGGACCTGTGCGTACAGTTTCTCATCTTAGAGATTCAGATTAAACAAAAGAAATTTAATAAATCAAATAAAACAAATAATCAAACAAAAATTTGCTTTAACCTGAACACATCCCAAATGTTTTAGGTACTATAAAATATGCCAATAAAAGATCCAGATGTAAATTTTCACAAAACAACAATAAATGGTTTCCTGTGAAAACACGACAGAAAAACGTTGTGATTCTTTTATTTTCAGTAGGTTAGATTACAGAAACAATATCTTTGCTGCTCTGACAGCTGCAGCTCATCCAAAATGCCGTGGCCAGAGTTTTTTCTGCCACAAGCAAAATCACTCATATCGGAGAAGTTTTCAAACCACAGCACTGCCTTCCTGTTTCCAAAGGCCAAAGACTCTGACTAATGAACTGCTTGCTGGATCAATGATTATTTATTGAACTGATACATTGGCAAATAGATTTGGATTTAAATTAGTCTATTAAATCTACATTTTAAAATGCTTTTCAGTGCTGGCATACTGAGCTCTGTTTGAAGAAAAAAAAAACTAATTGAATTTGCTTTCTTCTTTTTTTTTGGATAACCTCACTTATGAATGGAGCTACACTATATGAATGAACTTGCCTTGCCTATATTACCAAGAAAATGAAAGCTTTTTTTATTCAAACTGGTTTGTCGCCTCACATCCTGGATGTGGCCAGGATTGTTTAACATAACCTGATGTAACACAGTGATAACTTTGTTTGCACAAGAGAAAAAAAAACATTCTGTCCCTGCTTTTTGGAAAGACGTTGCAAGTATCAAATTCACAGACTCTCTTCTTCCAACATAATTTACTGTAAAATATGTTTTCTTTGCATATCAAGAGACAGTATAAGAATGGAGGCCCAATAAACGTTGAATGTGGAATCCAAAACATCAAACATAACATTAACGTCAGAGCAGCGTCAAACATATTCTCAAATATAAGCAGAAAGCTCAAACACAAACAATGACTTTGACTAAAAATGTAAAATGATGTTTGCATATTTAGTAATATAACCAGAAAGGGATCAATCAGCATATTGGAAGTTGCAGTAATAGTTGTGATTACCAGCAGCAATGATTCATTTGGACATTTGGTTCAAATAAAAACTGGAACTAAAAAGTTTATAACTCTATGAAAACAACCTGGAAAATAAACTCACCAGCACACAAAGGCCAAAAATTAAAACCCATTGACCACAACAGTTTCATTCCCAGTTGAATTTGACATAATTTCACAAACCTTTAGGGTTATAAAAAGCATTATAAGAAGCATACGTCTAATGTATACTTGTTAGTACTGTTTTAGTAATGTAGTAAGTGGCTGTTTGCAGCATGCTTATAAATAAACTTAAACCAAAAAAGCTGTATTGTAAAAGTCCTGGAATTTTATTGTCTTTTTTTAATATATATAGTTACTTCAGTCTTAAAAAAAGGTTTGTGCAATTGTGAGATTGTGCTTAATTCAGTTTTGTTCAACTTGAATGAAACAGATTGAGAACCTGCAGGAGCAGCTCAGAGACAAAGACAAACAGCTGGGAAACCTCAAGGACAGGATCAAGTCTCTGCAGACCGACTCCAGTAACACAGACACTGCCCTGGCCACCCTGGAGGAGGCGCTCTCAGAGAAGGTGCAACCTTGAGATCTGATTTTTTTTTTTTTTTTTAACGTCTCTGCGTTCCAGACTTGCACATCAGTATGATCACATAATTTAAACACAGAAATTATGACAAGAAACATAAACATTGGGAAACATGAAACTTTTGAATAAGACCTTCTGGTTTAAGGTCACATTCAGGAGCTACAACTCTGAACCACATTGAAAACCTCATGGTTGTTCCACCAAATATTAATTTCTGAGCTCTCTACAAGTTAAAACATTAGCATTGTTATTTCTGAATGAATATGAACTTGCTTTATTTGCATTATTTGAGGTCTGAAAGCTCTGCATTTTCCCATTATTTTGACCATTTCTCATTTCCTGTAAATAAATTTTACATTTTTGCTTGGAATTTCAGAGACATGTCAGTAGTTCATAGAATAAAAAAACGATGTTCATTTTACCCAAACACATAACTATAAAGAGTAAAACCAGATCATCTTATGCAGTCTTTTTTTTTCAGAGTTGTATAATGAATTACTGATGAATCAAGAGGCTTAAATTTGTGTTGGATAATCATTAAAATTTTTCCTTGCACAGAACTTGTGATCTTTTCAGAGCAATTTCAAAGCATAATTTTGATATATTTTTGTCATATCGTTACAAGATCGAACTCAAACCTTAGTGGTTTGAGTAAAAAGCTGCTTTTACTCCTGATTATTTTAGAATCCTATGAACTTTTGTGCATTTTTGCTTTTGTTTCATTTTGGTAGGAGAGAATTATTGAGCGACTAAAGGACCAAAGAGAGAGAGAAGACAGAGAACGTCTGGAAGAAGTGGATTCCTATAAGAAGGAGAACAAAGACCTGAAGGAGAAGGTCAACAACCTGCAGATAGAGTTAACAGAGAAGGAGGTAGGTGTGAGATCGTCTGTGCGAGGGTGTCAGGGTGAATCCACATGCCTCTCTCTGTGTTTCTTTGTAGAACATCCAGCTCTCCTCTGTGTAAGCCCTGTAGTGCATCTACTAAGTGTCTCTCTCAGCAGCTGTCTCCTCTGATTCTGTGACCTTTTCACACCTGCTGACAAAGCAAGGCTGCTGGATTTAAACGCGCTTTCAACGTCTGTGTCGATTGTCTACCTGCAGTCTAGTCTCATCGATCTCAAAGAACATGCATCATCCCTGGCATCTTCTGGCCTCAAGAAGGACTCAAAGCTCAAGTCCCTGGAAATCGCCATCGAGCAGAAAAAAGAGGAGTGTAGTAAGTTGGAGACGCAGTTGCAAAAGGTATGTGTTTGTCCTTGTCTTAGTGAAAGCTCACTCATCAACATGTTTTTAGGTGATAATTTTGGCCTGATCTGGTACCAGTTCATATGTCATATGTTTCCTGAAGCTAAATAATGACACAAGAGTTTTACAAATGAAATCAAAATATAGATAAGCTTGGTGCACAGGATCAGTTTCATATGTCAGTACTGACTAATCGCTGATCTCCCAAAGTTAACGAAAGTGAAGCTGATTTGTTGGTGGACTCCTACTTTGAACACTTCATAAAAAACTGTTCAGTGTCCTTACCTGAACAGAAACACTAGGCAAGAAGAAAACCATTGTTATAAGATAGTATCAAAACATCTTCTTTACATTTTATAGGAAAACTAACATTGCACATTATAATGAACATGGCATCCCTTCTGTGCCACATGGGCCGGTGATAATGCATGTTTTGCATCTGACCTGAATTTATTGCAAAATGAATGGAATTAGAGAAAGTGTGAAAAATGTTCATTCAGTTTTTGGAGAAATGAACAAAACTGAAATAAACCAGGAAAATGCACTTTGATTTTGCTTTCACTGTTGTTTTACAAACTGCTGAACATTTTAAAACTATGTTGTTTGTTTTTGTTAATTCTGTTTTGTGAGTGGGAAGATGTCACTGAAAGCTTGTCTGAACAAGAATCTTGATCCAGCGTTACATAAATCACAGCTCTTTAGGATCCTGGCTGCCATCACTTTCTCTCCTCTGCTGCAAGCTGCTGTACTTTGTCACAATGTTTCGCAGAACAAGGAGTCCGTCCGTCTTCTTTGTCTCCATAATCCACAGACCGTCCCAGCGTCTGTCCCTCTGTCGTCATCAGTGTTTTACTGCTGTTAACCTTTAACGACACGTTCCGTGCTGAAACTGTGTTACTTTGCAATCAACGTGTATTTTGTCTGATCCTACTGTTATCTCCTCTGGCTCAAACTAAGCCCTAACACTTAACTTTCCCTGAACCCTCCTACCCCTCCTTTCTAATGTCCCTTCCTCGACCCCCCTCTGTTGGCAATGTAGCAAGCTGAGCAGCTATTCAGTCACATGAACAATCCTGTAAGTCCCTCTCTTGAGGTCTGTGAGGCGCACATTGAAAGCATGAGGACACTGAGAAGTTCTTTGAAATATGCTAGATGGTGATCATGGCGAGTCCCAGCACAGGCACTGCTTTCCCCCATCGACATGCATGTTGCCCATTGCACTGTGCGGGTATTACAAGCTTCAAACTGAACAGAGAGTCCTGTGCAACGTCCTCTTACAGTGATTGGTGTCTGCGTGTGTGTGTTTGTGAAAATAGTGTTACACAGTCAAAGTTGTTTTCGTATTGTTCTGTATTTATTGTCAGCTGAAAGTAGCACAATTCCCACATTACTCAATAACATTTCTAAGGATTTATTTCTTCAGTTTTTAATTCGAACTCAAGTATTGTTTTAGGTAACGCTAATATTGCAATCTTTAGTTATTCCAACTACATTACTCTTCAGCAGAATTATATTTGTACTAATAAAGTTTTCAGTACAAGTCAAAACGGATGCTTAAATTATCCAGATAACCAATAAAATATGCAATTTTAATTCAGAGGGGAAAAAACCCACATTTAATCCTTTGTATTATACTTGCAAAATAATGAAAAAGAAAAAAGAAACCGGTTCAATATTCAAAAGTTTTTAAGAGGGATATATATGAGCTACTTATGAGTTCTTTCTCTGACTGTCTGCTTTCCTGCAGCTTTAAGTGTCACATGCTGCATCAGGACATTATCAACACCACTGAATTTTTTGTCACATTGCAACCACAACAAAATATTTTGTTGTGACTTTATGTGGCAGACCAACATAAAGTAGAAAATAATTGCAAAGTGGAGGCAAATTGATACACTTTAGTTTTTTGTACAAATATCATCATGTGATAAACCCATAAACAAAAATGTAGAGCAAACTACTGCTTTCAGAGTTCACCTACACTAAATAGAGTCCATGTACGTTAATCTCAGTATTAAACTGGCTGTACTATGATGGCATCAGCTCTGGAGGCGTTGCATAGATTTACAGCTCAGGTGGAAAAATGTGTTTATATGAGAGTGGCAAAAATTGTCTTGTTAAAAAAAAATAATAATAATAAGTTTGCAACTTGCCACAAGCTACATAGGAGGCACAGCAAACATTTTAAAGATGGTATTTTTGTTTTTATTTTTTATTTTTATAACATTTTTAGTTTGTCTTTTTATGAACTCTTTACTAATGTTAAACTTTGTAAAGGCGTTTTGGATGGGTTTTTAAAACATCTTGCTGATACAAGATCCCACATGAGACTTGAACTTTCTGGAAAACCACAACATCCCAATAGTAGCAGCATGTAAGCGACGCCATATGAGGGGGAAAAGTTATGACAATTCTAAGAGCCCCTAACCAACAGGGGGTCCGCCACAATTTTCAAAAATTTGTTTATAAATTTTTTGTTCATAGAAATAAAAAAAGTACAAAATTAATTGCAATCAAAGATTGTTTTTATCAATAAAAAATCTAATGCTGCCCCTCCCAGAACCAAAAAAACACACTGAAGTTGTCAAAACCTTCAATGTGTTTTATTTTACTTTGTGTGATAGATCACCACAAAGTCGTGTCCATATTTGCCCTGAACCCCCCTGGATCTGCATGAAACGGTTCGTTCCTGCTCGGAGCTGGACTGTGTTCAGCAGCAGTTAGTACAAGACAAGAATGACTGTGACTGTTATTTTGCTGCTAAGGAAAATAATAAAGTCAGGTTTTCAAAAAATAGAGAGACAGAGAGGGTAAAAGTGTTAATTTATAACCTAGTTTTTCTCCAGGAGAGGTGGGTGGACAGTGTGAGATTATCAACCATTTAGCATAGTTAACATTAATGCAATTAAATTGGGGTCCAAGATTTGTGACAGCCCCCCTGGTGGCAGCATCATGCTGTGGGGTTTATCTTTAGAAGGGAGTAGGAAGCTGATGAAAGTAGAAGATGGGTGGATATAAAGACAAACCAATCCTGGAGGGACAGCTTGTTAAGACGCCTCAAACTGCTTTGTGTTGGTTTATTACATAAAATCACACAAAAATGAAATAAAGTTTGTCAGACAAAATGCGGTTAAACATTAACAATAAATACTTTTACATAATCTCAATTTACTTAAAGATTGCAGCAGATGAGCAATGACCTAATTAAGTTTTTATCCCCTGTAACGTTGTTCCACATTCTAAAAATATTAACTATAAATTGCTCCAACTTCTTTGTGTGCACACAGTCAGTTTATAGATGCAAACACTGTTTCAGCCCTGTTGAGTTTGCATGATTCGTTGCATGTCGTTATTGTTGCAGCTTCTCGTTTATCTCAGTGTGGTGCTGGTAGCGTTTGTACGAGCCGTGGGTGGAGACTGCTGTTGTGTTTTGGCGGATGGCTCTGTAAAACTTTGCACCATACGTGGGTTTGTTTGCTACCTTTGTAGTAAATTTAATTGAAAATTCAATCATAGTGGTGATGAGATTTGTTGAACGTGAACCAAATTGAGTCTTGGCTTTGGTTATTTGTGATCATCTTGTTTTTTCTGAATATTTAATAGATTTTATCAGGTTTTTTTCTGTACACGTAGGTCAAACATGCACACTGTAATGCACTCTGCATACTAACCAAGTGACAGATGACTGTGAGACTCAGAGGGACATTTAAATTGAACTAAATAATAGCTCTGTTAAAGCTAATGAGCCAGCACCAGTAATGATGGCCTGGTTCACAATGTTTACTCTACTCTTCATTATATTGCATTCACAGAGACAGAGACAGATCTACTTTAAAGCACAGTAAAATATCGTGAGCTGCTCTCCATGGTTGTTTCGGCTCGTCAATGTGAACTGACTCTGTGCATCTTTCCTTGGCACATGGATGCAGAAAGCTCATGAGGTGGAGCAGCAGCACTCAGGCCCCCGAGGAAACCCAGAGTACGTGGACCGAGTAAAGCTTCTGGAAAAGGAAGTGAGCTATTACAAAGACGAAGCAAGCAAGGCTCAGTCGGAAGTGGAGAGGCTTCTGGACATACTGAGAGAGGTGGAAACCGAGAAGAATGACAAGGACAAAAAGATTGCTGAGCTGGAAAGGTGAGTGAAACCTCTGACTGAAGACGCTGGCTAACCTCTTTTGCCAGGTATTCAGGATTTAGTATAAAAAAAAAAGAAAAAAAAAAGAAATATCTGTATCTCTAAATAAATGTTTCATACTAAGAAAAGCAAGCTGTCATCAAAGATACTTTTAGTTTTATGTCAACTTATTTAAAGAAAACAAAGCATGCCTTCAGTTTCAGTTACATTTTGTCCTCTTTTCCAGTTTTCTGTTTTCCTGCTTTAATATCTTAGCTGCTGTTTTGTTACCCATTCTTCTTGTTATTCTAATCCAGCTGAGCTAGACATTATGGTTGCAGCTATGATTTGCAACACATTGGTTTCCGTGACACAGACAAGTTTGTTTCTGCTGATGTTGGATGTGTTTTCCACATCAAGTTATAACCTACTAGTTTCCACTTGTCTATGCTTAACTTCCAGCCTTTTGCTTAAACGTAGCTGTTTTTTCTTGGATGGCGTCTGTGTAGAGTCAGTTTGTTTGAAGGCCTGATAAAGCCCATGGACTCTTGCTTTCCAAACTTGATGTTCAGTATGGTTTATTCTATTTGCTGGTCAGTGACTTAACCACCATGGTGCATGTAATTAGTTGGTTTCGTCGCTGTACTAGGTAGTCTTCATTAAAACTCATGAATGTCTGAATGATAGATGTTTCACCTGCCAGGAATTTTAATGCTTTGTCTTAAATTTGAGATACACCACTTTTGGGATAATTTTGTAAAGTTCTGATTTTAGCCTAAATATGTATTTTTACATTCACAGCTGCTGTGATAAACAGCTGCTGTGATAAACACTAACTAAACTACTACTACTGTGATAAACTACTAACTAAAACGTTAGTGTCTCTGTTTGTTTCCGTAAATAGAGCCACACTTTAACCGTAGCATTAAATCCTTCACTAAGTCTGAAAACAGTTTACATGGACATTTTCCTCTTCAACAACTTCCACGCCAAAGAGAGAAGATATCATGACCCGCCTGCATTTATTGGTCCAGAAATAAGTAGATTTTTTAGGCTTCAACTGACGATTCACCATTCAGCTTTAAGTATCAAGTGTAAAATAAGTTGATTTTCCTCACAAGCTGATTTGTTTGTGGATTTCTCAAAGTCATTCTTTGGAAAAAGCAGAAATCTTCCTCCCAAATGATGTTAGAACAGAGTAATTGATTTCTGTAAATGTGCTTCTTTCATTCTCGTATTTAAGTGACATTTATCCAGATACTCGACTCTGAAATTGTTGTTTAGTTTTGGTTCAGCTGATGAAGTGAATTGCTAAACTGACCTAAGCATTGGTCAAATTGTCTGAGCCCAACATAGATTTGCTATGACTTCTTCTCTCCTGTCACATACTCTCCATCTAGCACAGATACAAGTTAGATGTCAGTGATAGTGCCCTCTCACTTGAGTTCCTTGCTAAGTCTTTCACCAAATGTGATTAACTGAGTTTTCTTGTCCTTTTTTTGCATCCTTACCCACTTTTTTCATCCTGTGTCCCTTCTGTCTTTTGTCCCCTTCTTTAACCCCGACCATTGGTCAACCTTGACCTCTGTTCATTTTCTCCTCATTCTTCTCAAATTGGATTTTGAATCTTCAATCTGTTCTTCATTTTCTTTGAAACGCTCTTGTGCCCTTCCTTCTGCACTAAATTTTAAAAAGCCCCCCATCCACTGCCCCTCGCCATACCCCTCGTTCTGGAGGCAGAGCTCCCCCTGACCCACTCCCTTCTGTGTCTGCCGCCCCTCAGCAGATAGGGGGCATGGTCTGGGATTTCCTGGGAAAGTGAGTGCTCTGCCCTGGCACTTCAGCTCAGCTCAGCTTCCTGATTTAAAATCTTGGACCGCAACTGCTGCAACTGCATCTGGTTTCACCCGTGTGTCTGGTTCTGCCTGCTCTCTGTAGGACGCTCAGATCTTTGCATCGCAGTGGCAGTTTTTATTTGTTGTCTGTGTTTTCATCACTTACTTCCACTCATGATGCAAAGACTCTTGGATTCAGTTTTTCTTTTTGCTTCTTTCTCAGTGACTGTCTGCACCTGCTCCATGAATACATTTCTTTCAGCTTGGGCATCAGTTGGAGAGCATGTGTGTGTTTGACGTGTGCATGACATATGAACTGTTGCATGTTAGTTTTGTTTTTATAATGACTAAAAGTACATTTATTGTGCAAAGACTTTAAAACGTTTCTTATTTATTCATATTTTCCTCTCAAGGACCAGAATTTCTTGTATTTTTAAATTTATTTAGTTTTTATTTTTTGTAAGGGAGGCTCCCAGCCAAAGTTCTTCAAGCTTTAAGTGGTTTGTCAAAGTTTTTGGCTACTTTTTATAAGTTTCAGTTCTGCTTCTCAAACTATGAGAAATGATAACAAATGAAAGCATTGTAAAGTGCAATTTGAGTTTGGGTCTTTACATAGTTTTCTGTTATCTTCGGACGCAGCATTAGTTTTTTCTTGAGCTTAAGACCCTTTTTAAGCCTGAGTACAAAAACACAAAAGAGGAAGAATTACAGGGCTCTTTAATTTAATAAATGGACAAACAAACATACCTTCACTAAAAATGTACTATTGTTATCTGTTATTGGACAGAAAATTATAGACCTTCAGAAAGCCTGAAGAGCTGCTGAACAAAGTTTTATCAAATACAGAAAGTCTGTCTCCTTGCAAAACAGTTAAAAAGATGGATGACTGAAAACCTTTGCACAGGACTCTGCATTTTAAATATTGCACATGTTGTGGTGTTCATTTTCTTTACTGAGAAACAAGTACTTGATTTTTCTGTGTCTTTTTTGCTTGTGTGTGCAATGATGAAGTGTAAAGTACAATGATTCACATCAAGGATAAAACATTTACAATTTATGGCACCAGCAATTGTTCAGGTGTTTGTCAAAGATGCTGCTATTTAATATGAGCCTATGATTATTGTGCCTTGCAAAAGTATTGATACACCTTGAACTTTTTCGCATTTTGTCACTAAGAAACCACAAACTTGAACGGATTATATTGACATTATATCTGCTAAACCAACACTAAGTTGTGCATGATTGTGACACGTCCATGAATATATATTTCAGTTCAGCGCTCTGAGATTGATTCCTTTGGTTTTCATCTCTAACAGTTTAGTGCATAGAGAGCTACATTCTGGTGCTGCTCCATGGTATTCTTTGTCGACTGTCTATCAGACGATACCCAATGAAAATGTATTGAAGTTTTTGGTGGCAATTTGACAAAATTTGAAAAAGTTATGGGGTCTGAATACATTTGAAAGCAAGTAATTTTCTGTGAGATCTTGGTGTGATTCTTTCTGCTCCTTTTTTATCTGTTTGAGTTGATTTTACTGCACACGTTGTTCCTACCAAGTTGAAACAGCGTGGGCAGCAGCATATTTTCACTCATTCACACACACGCACACTGGACATTTCTGATTATACGTTGTTTTATGGGCTGTTTGTTAAAGCTTTTGTAAAAAGTATCAGTCCTCAGCTGTTCGACCTCCTTGTCCTCTGGGCACATTTCACTCCTTTTCATTCCACCCATCTATCCGCCTCATTTCTTTCTGTCGCTGACACTTGTATTTCTGACATTTTCCTTTCTACATCCTCACCTGGCATCTTCTCTCTTTCCCAGTCTCTACCTCCCAGTCTGCTCCAGCTGTCTTCTTAGCTAACCCTATCAGACACTGTAGGAAATACTGAGAAAAAATGATCTGCATGACTAAAGCTGCTGTGCTCCTAGTCTGTGCACCATCAGGGTGGAGATGCTGTAATTTGTGGACTGAGTCCTATCTAGTCTGCTCTATTAATGAATCCCCTGCATTTTCAACTAATGCCTTTCAACCTTTGCCTCACACTCAATCAAAATACTGTTAGCTTCCCTTCCTTCCTTGCCCCTGTTTCGCGTCCTCATCTTTTGCCTGTCTGACTGCATGTCTGCCACTCCCAGGCTTGGCAGCAGATGCACAGCGCTCCATGTTGTTCAGAAGTGCATCCTGCAAAAGCTGTGTCAGACTGTCACAGGCTTGTCTGTAATCTCAAGTGTTGATGGATGACTATAGCACATTGTGATATCCCCAAGGTGTTTTTTTTTTTTGCTTTGTTTTGTTTTACATTTTGGTTTGAAAACTTTCTTTACATTTTTATTTTTGCTTTTCTTCTGTGTGTTTTTTCCTGCTTCCAATGTTTTCTTCACGTGTCCTTCATCCTTTTGTCTTCTACCTTTAAATCTACCTGTCTGCAGTTTAGCTCCAAGGTAAGACATTTCCCTGCAACTCTCGAACTCCAAGTTTACTGAGGTTGATCCAAACTCCTGCACTGAAACCTTTCAGCCCTCCCAACAATGACATGAGGCTCAGTTCAGCTGGGATATTCATGCTTTGTTACTGAGCTCATGACTGACACAATTTCTTCCATTTGTACTCATTATGGTTCCTCGTCTTTTTATGGGTTTGCATTGTGCCCTTCTCACATCTTAGCTCATTCAGATCAGACTTGATTACTGTTGTGATATGGACAAGTTTTAGAAGTGTGTAATTTTACAGGCAAGGAGGTAAAGATCAGATCAAGAAGGGTTCCAACATCAAACTGGGACTTCAAGGGGACAAGAAAGGCTTAGGGCAAGATCCTCGCAAGGAAGGCTCTTTAGAAAGTGGTCACCACTTAAAGGTGAGGATTTAACTTATCTTTCATAAATAATAAGCTCTGATTATGCATGTTTAAATACCCGAAGTGCCACTGATGAATTTAAATACATTCAGTAAACAATTTCCATCATTAATAAACAACTTGATTGTAAATAGTAAATTGAATGTGAACAAGTTTGAATCAATTGTGAAATTATTCTCATCAGTTGAAGTTCATATATATACATGCACCCTACTAGTATTTGGGGGAAATACCCTAAAGTAACTTCAGAGAAGTTTTTTGTTTAGCATAAGTTTTTGCAGAAAAAAACCATCACACATCTTTCATCCAGTCTCCTCTAAGTGGTTTAAATTAACTGAGCACACTTAAAAAGTTTTTTTTTTCAAATCATTTCAAAGTTTTAAAATTAAGATCCAGTCACAAGTATATTCATGTTGCACATGAACGTATTTGTGTTAAAAAGGTGTTAAAACATTTCTCCAAATGTTTTAATGACTGAATATGGTGGGTGTTCCAACAAGACAATGACCCCAAATATATCTGTTAAAAGTATTTTTGAATGATGAAGCACATTAACATCAAGCTTCTAAAAGGACCTTGATATTGAGAACCTTGAACATTAATGAACCAGGCTCAAAAGTGCGGTCAACACCAATTAACAAACCAATTTAAATAAAGTGTGCCAGGAACTCGTTGAGGATTAAGATATTTTTTGGGGAGTTTTTTTTTATCTACTAAACAACAAGAAAATATATATAAATAGGAGTGTGTGTATACACATTAGGTACAGTAGGTGTAATTGTGACCTTGTGAGAATAATAGGACTTTCACATTAAGTTCAAAACCATGCACCAAACTCTAGTTTTAGAAGCTCAAAATTCAGATGACTTTCACACCCATGATAAGCGTATTTGAACTTCTCAGCAGCACTTCATATGTTTGCACCGAGTCACTGTGTGTTTTCTGCTTTGTCCACTGTGCTGTCTGTCAGCTGGAGGAACTGATGAGCACCCTGGAAAGGACGAGACAGGAGCTGGATGCCACCAAGCAGCGTCTCTCCTCTACACAGCAGTCTTTGCAGGAAAGGGACACCCATCTAACTAACATGAGACAAGAGCGCAGGAAGCAGCTGGAAGAGATTCTTGAAATGAAGTCAGTATTGCTGCAAACTTGACGGTTTCGCTTTGTCCAATTAATTTCATATGTAGTATCAATTTTATGTAATAAGATATTGCAGAACATGCCACTAAAACAGCCTTTGTATCAAAAAGCAGAAGTCCAAATAAAGATGTTTATTGTGTATGTTGTGCTCTCTTAAGGTTTAAATTAGAGTTAATACTTCACACAAAGGCACTACGCATTGCCCTGTGCACAGTAATATACATAAACTAGTTGATTTATGTCAAATCTTTAGAAGTTACTGAATAACTTCTAAAGATTTGAAAATATTTCTAAAGAAACTTTACTGAAGTCACCTTCCAACTCTTTGCATAAGTGTGTTAAGTTAAACACCCTGGCTACAAATACTTATTAAGCTGCAAATTTACTAATCAGTGCTTTAAATAGACTTCATCCCTTATGATTTTAAAGAACTGTTACAGGATTATATTCTGCTCACAGGTAGTTGTGAAGTAGAGTTGAATATGACTGTATTTGGCAGAGATTATGTGCAGTTTTAGAATTGATAAAGGTTCTACAAGTTTTATATGTGTGGGTGCTACATTTTTATTTTGTTTTGATTTGTTTTCAGACAACAAGCTCTGCTGGCAGCCATCAGTGAAAAAGACGCTAACATAGCATTACTCGAACTATCTGCCTCTAATAAAAAGAAGACCCAGGAGGAGGTGCTGGCCCTGAAAAGAGAGCGGGACAAACTGATGCACCAACTCAAACAACATGTTAGTGCCATTTAAAGCATTGTAAAAACAAACAAACAAATGAAGTAACTTGCCACACAAGTTCTTTGAACCCTCCTGCAGCTCAGGTGGAGTGCAGCAAATGTCACGGTCGGACAGTTGGAAAGAGTCTGGTGTCCTGTTAGACCGTTAAACCTCATAAAAGTACACACAGGGTCAATGTATCAACGTGTACACAGAGTAAAAAAAATTCATGGGGTCTAAATGACACGGTCTCTACAGACCAGGGGAAGGTTAAGAGCAAACCTTGTTCTTTCTTTTGTCTTTCATTTGTTATTATCCAGGCCTGTGATTACAGTGCTTTAACTCTGCCTAATGTATGCTGACAACTACTTGGATCAATTAAATGTGTATTTATTATGTCTTTCAACACAAGCGATTTCTGCAAGGATTTCTAACTTCTAGCTCGTCCATTTTCTGAGTCCAAATGGACAGAAAACCTGCTCAGTTCAATTTGTGTCTGCTCTAGTGACACTGACCTAAACTGATGTACAGTATAATATCCTCATAAGCAGAAAGCAGTAAGAAAAACATATGACAGTGTTTGCTGGATTGATGATGGATTATAGAACATTTTGCTAAAGAAGAACTTAAAATGAGTGTAAGTTTTAAATAGTTGAATATATGTTAAAAACTCAGTATATTCTAAAGTTTTGTGCTTGTTCTCCATTGGTTAGTGTGAAGAGACGATAGCTTGAAACAACAAATCATGATGTAAGAATTTTCTTCTTGCAGACACAAAGCAGAATGAAGCTGATAGCTGACAACTATGAGGATGAGCAGTATCATCCACATGCTCCTCACCACCAGCCACAGCCTCCAAATGCCCAGACTCAGCCACAGCCCCAATACCCCCATCCTCCCCATGCTCAGCAGTCTCCTTATCCACACGCCACACACCCCCAACATCCACAGCACCTGCAACACCCACAAGCCCCGGCACAGCACCCGCATCCACAGCAACCGCAGCCCCAGTATCCTCAACACGCACAACACCTGCAGCACCCACAGCACCCACAACACCAACAACACCCTCAGCATCCTCAGCATCCTCAGCACTCTCAACCGCTTCCTCAACACCAACAGCATCCACGTCCCCCACAGCCACAGCACCCGCACCAACAGCACCCACAGCATGTGCCGCAGCACCCACATGGACATCCGGCTCCACAGCACCCTCACCCTCAACACCCACATGGCCCTCCCCCCCAAGGACCTCACCCACAGCATTCTCACCCGCAGCATCCTCAGCACCCTCAGCATCCCCAACATCCGCACCACGCCCAGCATCCTCGTCACCCCTCACCTCACCATCGTGGAGGGCCGGCCCGTGGACCGCCACACGCAGGCCACCGTCCCTCTCCAGACCAGGTCAGTGAACACATACTGTACAAATGACAGAATAACAAAATTGCACATCTTTCATACAATGTGTCTTCATTCTGGAAGACACTGTACACAACTAAAGTTAATATGGGGCAAAACCACATTTAAAGTAAAAACATTCTGCTCTTTCTCTGAGGTTATCACATAAGACATAAATGATGGTGTAATTTATGGTGGAGTAAAGTCAGTCAGCAGAACTAACATTGTAGGAAATAAATCTGGTCTCTAAGTATTTTCTCTTGCACAACAGGATGATGAGGAGGGCATTTGGGCATAGCTGAGACAACCAAAGCTCTAATGTTGTTTTGAGGGGTAAGTTAAGTCTTTTCTGAAGTTGTTACATTATATATACCACAAACCGATCAATGCTATGTTTTTTACTGTCATACCTGATTATTTCCTCTCATGTAGGAGATTCAGTCACTACTGGAGGAGCATGGTCATCCCAAGATGTTGAAACACTACCCAAATAAACATTTATCACCTTCAGTGAATCAGTACTTCTGAGCAGTGGGACCTTTATTTGTTTTTTTTGTTTGTTTGTTGGTTTGTTTTTCACTTTTGTGTTTTGTTTTGTTATAATTTGCACATTTGTTTCTGAGGAACAGGAGGAGGTACTCAGGTTTTCAGGTCCTGCATGAAGACTGGCAGCTGAGCAGGTAAATAAAATGTGCTTCTGCACACTTTTGAAAATGAAAACACACAGAGTGGAGTCAATAAGTACTGAACATGTCACTGTTTTGCTCAAAAATATGACAATGAAACAGGTTGGTAACAATGCAGTTAGATGTGATGGTGACACATTCTTTCTCTATAATCCCTGAACATTCAAGGAGACGTCTTTTATATTCTCTGATCTTCAGTTTCTATTGTACTGAAACTGAAGATCAGAGCTGAGTCATCGTCTGCAGGCTTTATTTCTCTAAATCATCTGACAGTTTTTTTGGCAGTGTGGTTGGCATCATTTTCTTGTTGAAAATATTTAGATTCTCATCAAGAATGTTCTATTCAATTTATCATTTCATTAGTTATATAAAGTCTATGTCTGAACTTAGACATAGATTAAGTTCAGACAGACTTCTGACTATGTCTGACTGTGCTGACAGTCAAACCTAACCTGTGCGACTATATACAAGGAGTTAAATCTGGTCTCATCTGATCAGAATAACCAAGTATTTTAAAGGCTAATATGAATGCTCTGCATCAAGCCTCAAACAAGTCTCATTATGCTTTATTTCAACAGTGGAGTGTTGTGCAGTGAGTGTGCTTAGAGGCCATTAGGATTCGTGCATTGCCTTTTGTTTCCATGCAATCAATTTATTCAGCTAATTCCAGTTCTGTTTATGGTAGTGACTCCTTGTCAGAAATGTGACAGTGTCTTATGTTTTTTCCACTTCTGGATTATGATCATAACTGTATTTGCTGAAACATTCAAAAGATCAGAAGTATGGCCACATCTAATGGAGTCAGTGCATTTTGTAACAATGTGGCTGTAAAGGTTTAAGGATATCTTCTTGCTTTTTCTCTGTATAAATTGCACCTGCTGTGTTACCTTTATAATGAGAAACTCCTTTGCAGGACTAAACCAGCTGTGAATTATTGGCACTGATATTGAATAGTTTCTGAACATTATCAGCCATTTCTTGACTTTCTTTGCAATCATTTATTTCATGTGACTCCCCAGTGTTCAACCCACATAACTTAATTTAGTGACTAAATCTTATTTTCTTTGTATGTGTGACCACCATAGTGTGATGAAAACATTGCCATGTTCAGTACTTATTTCTCTTGCTGTGGAAGCATAAATATCACATTTCTAACCATACTTTGTTTTTATGTTCCTCACAAGGTGAGGTGAGGCCTTCGCTATGCGTGACTAAGAAGACCATCCTCCACAGTGTTCACAAATCATTTAAAATGATGCACTGATGGAGACACAGAAGACAAATTGCTGCTTTAATGGACATGACTACCACAGGCACCCTGCAGCAGAGGTGTCACAGAAGTCACCTCACCTGTCTGTCACCTGCTGAATAACCCCTCTTCATCCTCACAACAGAGAATTTATGATTCTGCCAGTAAAGCTCTTTTTTTTTCTTTCATGAAACCACATCATTTGTTTTAAAATGGTTGTTATCTTGTTGACCGTTAAAGTCAAGCTCTGACTGGCTTCTAGGCCTGACGCTCATTCTCACTTCCCTCCTGACTCACAGAGTGACATCTGACCCCTCCACGTATCGCTACCGACCCTCGGAGTGTCTTCTGCTATCTTTTACATCTGGACAAGTTGTATTTATCTTCGAGGTCACGTGTTAGGCATTTCTTCCTATTATGATGTCTATCTTGACTAGCATGTCATCAACACATTCAAGTCACTCTAGGTTTTCTGTTGCCATTTTTTGTTGGCACAAGGAAGCACTTTTTGTTCACCTATGGAGCGCCTTGAGTGACTTTCCTGCAGTGTTTCCCTTGCTGCACAAACCTCTGGTTTTGGGGTCTCGTTTTTGCCTCAAAGTAGTGGCTCTCATCAGCATTTTTTTTTTCTTCGCATTACCTCATTTTAGTCAGAAATAGAAAAATCAGTCTATGCAGATATCAACATAGAGATAATGCATTTTTATTTTTCCATGTTTATTTGAATTAATTATAATTGTATTTGACCAATCAGAGCTGCCAAGAGAGTGGTCAGAAGATATTCATTAGATTCTTTTGATTTTCTGCGACTATGCACCTCCTCTGTGTTGGCAGGAACTTTCACTAATGGTGCTTCTGCTGGTGCTCAAACTAAATGGTGTCAGAAGATCAAACCAGAGCATCTTTTAGTCCTTTTACAGTAGAGGGACAAGGTCCCACAATGGGCTTCATAAGCAACAGTACAAGACTACTTTGTATATATACTGGTTAAAATTTGGGGGGATGGGAGGGACTTTGTGAACAACGATTAAACATTTTCTCCAAAAATATGGCTGCCATTAGCCTCAGAAGAGACCGTGACGCTAAGTAGACGTTTTCTCTGCAGATCTAAGTGGTTCCAGTGACACCCCAGTCTCTCGATGAGTCCTATCCCCTCTCCTTCATAATCTTCCAGCAGTAGCCTGTGTGACCTCCCCACACATAGTGACTTGTTTTCTCCTACTCAACAAGGTGGCCTGTGCCTCGTAAAATCTGTACACAAAAAATAGATATGCATATATTATACATATAGAGAGAAATCTATAGAGTGTGTCTATATGTGATCAAAAATGTTTAAAACTAATAAGATATAGTATATGTTTTTGTTTTATTTTTTTCATTTATGGTTATTTTTCTAACTGGCTCGAGGTCAGAGATATTTTATTTAAGAGTGCTGATGGGTGAAATGTTCCTCAGATTTGTACTCTGGGATAAAACCCTTCAGAAACTTAACATTCCCTGTCTGAAAATACAGACCCATCCAGAAAAAGAGAAGCATAAAATATATTAAATAAGTTTCAGAGCGGCAATTTATGGGAAAGTGAGTCCAAATTTATCTATTTGTCTAGAAAAGACGCCAATATTACATTCCTTTAAAGGGATAGTTGGGGGTTTTTTGAGGAGGGGTTCTGTGGGACTGATCAGCAGTTGGACATTTTGCTTGAAATGTAGTTTACTGAACAATTTAAATTTGGATGGAAAGAAATTATTTCCCACTATAGAGTCAAGAATACGACGGGTCAGATTAGATCCAGTTCCATAGCAGTGTTTTGCCCTCTCAAATTAACTTTTAGCAGTATGTGCACTATCTTATCAATCTTCGCATTAACATTGCTTTTATAGTCAATGTAAAAGGGACAATAGTTTACATGCAAGTTTCTTGTTATATATGCAGCAAGCTGTGTTTCTCTGAGGTTCATTAATGATGACGTTGCAATTATGTTTGCTAAAATGCAAAAAAATGTACAAAAACTGTTTAAGACATTTTGGCAAAACAAATAAGAGGCTCAAGTGAATGTTATTGTATTAATCTTTTTACGCTGCATTATTTTATGCGAGGTAAGATGAGATTTCTATGGATGTTCTATGTAAAACTGAAACTAATGTTACACACAATAAAATTAGGATAATATACTTGTGCAAGAGGCATTATAAAAAGGATATTCACAACCTCAGTACTAAATAGTTTTCACATCATGTCAGGGAATGTGATGTTTTTAAGACATCATGAACTAGTGCTACATTTTTTTGAAATAGAGACCCCATGTTGTCTTTTTGTCACTTGTCTGTCAATACCTTTTGATTCGTTTGGGCAGTTGTTTTTTTTTTTGCCTTGATATATAAAATCATGACTTGAAACTGCATCTTATATTAATTAAAGTTTCCTTTATTTGTTATTGATATTTATTAATGATCTAAAACATTAACGTGATAGAAAACAAAAACAACGGTAATTTGTAAAAGGATATAAGCAACTTTAGACTGCTGATAGCAAACGCCCAGAATTCCACTTCTTAAAATCCCTAACTATCTCTTTAACACTAAACAAACTCAGTTGAAGACCACTTAGCCTGTGGTGACAACTTTAAACAGAAAAGTATTTTTTATTTTGTTTTGTAGCTCTCACAGGTAGCAGTGAGATTACTTCTGCTGCAAGCAGAAGCTTGCACTTGTAAATGAGGACTATCACAATATCCTCCAAGGAGAGGTTTCAGTGACTCTGTCTGGATGCATTTCTCCGATGTGTATTTGTTGTTGTCGTCATGTGAACTGAAGTGGTGATGTGTGTGTGTGTGTGTGTGTGTGTGTGACCGTGACAGCTGATTTAGGTAGGAAAACCATCACGTTGTTACAGTATTATGAGAAAATGAAGCTGACTGTTACTAATGCCCTCCTCCTTCCTCGACCCTCCCGGTGTCTGTGTGTCAAGTGTTGGTTATTGTAAACAAATGTCTCTCCATCTCACCCAAATCTTCTCAAACCAAGGTGATCCACTCTTCTTTTTTTTTTACATGTGTCATTCCCACACAAGCAGCTCCCACCATTGAACAAAAACCAACAGGTTCTACAAGACGTTTGTTTGTTTTTGTTTACAAATCTTGATATAAAGGCCTTTTTTATTGTTAGAGAGACAGCGCAAACAGACAGAGGAGCGTAAATCCTCTCACTTCACCATCAGGGGGTACTAATCCTCCATTTTCAGGTCCTTATCTACTGAATACTTGAAGTAGGGAGTTTTCCTACCATGATATAGCATACATTATTTAAATGATAAACAACATGGAACATTTTAATTGTGCTCATGCATGCTGATTTTTACATAACGTGCCAATTGAAGGTGATGGTGTATGGATAATCTACTGTACTCTATGCAGTGATTGCTCTATTGTCGTGTCAAAAATATGATCTAAAAATATAGTTATTAAAAGATGCTGAACTTGGAGATTGGGAGATTGTTTCCTGTGCTCAGATTAAAGACTAGCAGGCGATTCTTTATCCGTGCCTAGAAGCAGCTGTGTAGATTCACCAGTCATTTTTAAAGGCCTTTAAAAGAACTACAAAAAGCCAACTATATGTTTTTCTTTCTTTGCTGTAGTAGTGTTTATTTTATTACTTTGTTGCTGAAACTTTTTGATTGAACAAATCACTGTGACCAATGGCAGATATTTTTTTTATTATTATTATTAAAGAAAATGTTGAGTTTTTACTTTTTTATTCATTCAGTTTTGTATTTAAGTTGAGTTTTATTTTTTCTATAATTTATGCTTACTTACCATTTTGAGACAGTACTATTTGTAATGGTAAATATTTTGAGCTGTACAGTAACAGACCTAGAAACAAAACTCAATGTGTGTCCAGCATGCTGAATGATCACTTGTGTGAACGTGAGCTGATGCAGCATCAGTCCTCATCCATTTCTTGCATCTGCATTGTGCATTGTGACTGTGTGATGTTGTGTTGGAGAGTGATATGTGTCTCACTTACTGTGTCCCCTTAGTAGACAGCCTGTGCAGTTTTGTGAGAGCGCAGCATGTTTTTTTTTTCCAGGTGTGGGGGTGTTACTGGTGTAAATGTATTCAGAAAAAGAGAGCAACTTGTGTGTGCGTGAGTGAGTGCAGATAACAGAATGTGTGTAAGTGTTATCAATGCAAAAGAGACTAATTTATTTAAAAAAAAGAGAACTTTATCAGCCAATTGTTAAAGAAAAGAAGTGGGCAAGTTTCGAATGACGCATGGATACTATGTAATGTTTGGTTTGTTTGCTTTTTTAACAATAGGAGGCTGTCCTTAGTGCCCCAGTTTGCTATTGTCTGTGCTGTATCAGAATAATACTATTGAGTGTTGGCCAGCTTGTTTATATCCATCAAATAAAGGTGACTTTCTTTCTGTCTTTGTTGGTGATTTAATACTCTGATTTAAAATCAGCGTGCCTCGTTTTCTTTGTAGAACATTGCTGCCCACAAAAGCAATGGCTGCATATAGACTATTTTACAAACCATGGAGACAAAAAAAAGATTTACATTTCTGTAAATACAGAAATAACATAATAGTGCATTTGCATCACTGGGCCAGCAGCCGTTTTCTATGTCTTCAAACCACTGTCACCCTGCAAACACTGGCATGAGAGTCATTGTGCTGGGTGAGCGACAAGTACGCCACATCACAGAGTGTATCTAAAAATGCATAAAATATATCATCAATATGAAAGACCTAACGCATACTTTAAGAACGGCTGCCTTCGGGATGATTTGAACACAAAATAAAAACTGTTTAATGTGAATATGTATGTACAAGAGTGTAGGGGTATATTTCAAATAAACAATATTATTGTAAACTTTATTTATTTCAGTAACTAATTTCTCTAAGTGAAACACATTATATAAATCAAGAACATACAATATTATATTTGACCAATGAAATTAGTATTAATCCAGAAATAATAAAAAACTGTTTTCTTAAAGGTTGTTTACAAAAGGTGCTTTTAATCGGATTAATGAGGCTCATCAGAACATTGAAAGTGTTTCTGTGGATTTTTTTTTTCAGAATATAAGGCACTTGTTTCAACCAACTGGATTTATTTTCATATCTAAGGCTAAATGTGTCCTTTTTATTACTATTTGGAGCATTAGCGCCCTTTCAGGATGTTGTTTAAGACACTATTACCCCTGTCTGAGAGCCAGTAACCTGCCATGGCTGCTGCTGCTCCCATGAATATCGATGTGTAGACCAGATCTCCTTTGGCTGCCAGCGTGGCCAAAGCACAAAGCACCACCCCAAAAAACATCTGCTGCAGCACCTCCACTTCATCATCTTGGAGATCCTCAAAGAGACCTTTCCCTTGAGCATCTGCAGGAGAGTCAGAGAGTTGTAAGCTTCAGTTTTTGTTGTCAACTCAAAATAAAAATCATTAGACTCACTGGGCAGCTGCTTCCTCAAACAAACGCTGTCCTTCATGAAGAAGCCTTCAGCACACTCACAGCGGAAAGAGCCTTCTGTGTTGACACAGATCTCATCCAGACCATGACAGGCAAGGACTCTGTCACCACATTCGTCTATATCTGAGCAAACAAAACATTTACTTGCAAGTTGTTTGTGTAAATCTTGCTACAACTCCATGTGAGGATGCTGAAAAAGGAGGTAAATAAATTTTTAACACTCAGGAAAATACTCAGTCAAATCATACACTGTGGAGTTTGTGAAATGCAAGGGGCAGTAAAATCATAATTTTTTAGCTTTATGTCATGTTACAATGTGATCCCCTCATCAAAATGTACCTGGAGTGCTGCTTTCATTATTTCACGCATGTTTGAGAAATCCTTTAATCTCCCCTGGCAAATATTCAGCCGTGCAAAATGCCTGGGTGGACCTGAAGCCGCTCCTCCCTGGAGCCTCAGTTTCCAAGCTTTTGCCTCACAGAAAAAGCCCTCCATGGGCATCCCCCTCTCAGCTCCTTCAGACTAGTCAGCAACATTTGCAAATGTGAGCCACTTCACAGTGAAATGTTGTTAAAAGGTTGTAATGTTGTAATAACCTCCTGAAGGAGTTTCAGAAAGAGCAAGTGACAGAAACTCAATTACAAAGTCAAATTTTGTTTTAAGTCATATTTGATACATGTAGAATATTTTAACAACTGAAGTTAACAGATAATATTACTGCCTCTAGAACCATCACACATCCTGTGTGGAAAAGCACATGTGCAATGAAAGCATAGTAATCATATCGTACATTAACATGTTTTTTGGTTAGTTTTTTTTTGTCAAAGAATAAATTTACTTGAATTGAAGGTATGATTCCAGAACATTTTTGCAGATTTGTTCTTCTGTTATTCGCACCAACCTAAACACTTGGAGCCCATCAGTCTGTACCCAGGAGCACATTTCCTGCAGCGAGCTGGTCCACCACCCATACAGCCAACACAGGCCACATCACAGCCTGGAAATACAAAGACTTTTCATCCCACTGCATTCTGAGAGGTTACAAACACAGTAAATTATTAACTATGTTGTAAAACATAAATTGATAGGATGAGTTTTGAGGTGAAGACTTTAGAAGCAGTAAAGATATTTTGATTTTTCACAACATATATTTATTTTCAGTAAATTAGAGTAATTTAATTTCTCTTGTCAGAATAAAATTACCTTCGAAAGTAACCGTTAGCAGATATTAAAAACATTTATTCTTAAAAATAGTTATTATTAACATGCTGCGCTCTCACAAAACAGAAAACATGGAACGAGAATCAGACACGACACTGTGGCAAAGCCTATTTGCAACTTTCAGAAAACAGGAAATGTTGCAGATCAACCACAAAGTGGTCCACGTATTAATATGTGAATTCAACACAATAATAATATTCTAACTTACTGAATGGATACTTGCACACATTCAGTAAATAAAATAAATCCTGATAAAGCACTGACCTCTGCACTCAAAGGAGCCTTCTATATTGAAGCAGAAACTGTTTGGAGAGCAGGCACCCAGCTCAGTGCCACACTCATCGATGTCTGAAACCGACCAAAACAGAAAGATGCTTAACCACCTGAGGTGTTGACAGATACTGTAAAAGAAATGATGCTCATATTTATACAAAAAGCTTGGTATGTATTACCTACACATGTGAAATTATAGAGATCCCATCCAGTCTTGCACTCTTTGCAAAGGTCATTTTCCTGTCCTAAACATTTGCTACAAGGATGCAGGCAGCTGTCGACCTGATGAGCAGCCAGCACGCTGCACAGCCACACAGCTGGCAGCAGCGTTCTCTGCAGCCATTTTGCTTCCATCCGAGCAAGAGATAAACTGTCAGAGTAACATCTGTCATTAGGAGAAAGGCCCTGATCACATCCTGGACTGATCACATCTCCAGCAAGTGATCAATCTTGATCACTCTGATCAAGTGATCAGTCTTGATCACTCTGATCAAGTGATCAGTCTTGATCACTTGCTGGATCAAGACTGATTAGAAACAATGACAAAAGTGAACAAACGCCTGTCAAAATGTCAAGTTTCACATTGCATCATGTGACGATTTTGGTATTTTTCTTGATCGCATTTATCCTCGAGGAATGTAGTGTTAACATTTTCCTGCATTTTATTTCCATCTGTAGTTAATTTTTTTTCCCATTTCACAGTAGTCATGTAAAAATAAAGTAAATTTCTTGGCAATTTCAGCCTAAAACCCTAAGACTTACCACCCAGGCACCAGTACATTTTGGGTACAAAGTACCCTCGCTCACAATGGGCTTCTTTCTTTTAGACTATTTAGGATGATAATACATAAAATGTCAGCAAGACTAATTGGACAATCTATGAAGGTAGAACGTTTTTTTGAAACTCAGTGACGCAGACACAAAAATGTGTCTATGTTTGGTCTCCTGCTTTTACCCAGAGATACACATGAGCAAATAATTATGACTAAATACAACTGTCACCTATTTTCAGCCCTTTTTATTTGACACGCTGTTTGTCAGACTGAAAGTACTTTCTTAAAATAACCTTCACTCTTTATTTTATTAAAATAAAATAAATTTTATGTTTCTATTAGCTTTAATCAGAAAAACCATCATAACAAACAGAAATAAAGGCTTGAAAATATGAGTCTGTCATCAGCTACATGTATCAGCAATTTGAGCTTTTGAATTTGCAATAATATTTACTTTACTGAATAGGAGTGTAATGTCTGGCCAGAAGTTGTTCTGTCTTTTTGAGTGCAGATTTTAAAATACATAACTTACATCAGCACCAACGCTGCCCTGTTTTATTTAAGAGATACATCTTCAATACAGCAATAGTATTTATAACAGTACTTGTAAACAATAGAGTACATCACACAAATGCCTTTGGCTTTTCAGAAATTGCATGAAATACATAAATAAAAAAAAACCAGTGCCAACAATTATAATCTCAAAATAAAGACAAATATTAACTTTCTGCAAAACTGATAGTTAAACAACACACACAGAAAGTGGATTTAAGAAAACACTTTAAGCACAACAGAGCGCCTTTTTACCTCCTCCTTACACAAGTCCAACATACAACCCAAACGAGACGCTTTTAACGCGCTGCTCTGACCATTTGACTGGGAATTACATCCAAAGCACCGCAGGGAGCGAGGCTCGTTGTTATCGCTCATGTCTCCTAACGCCGCCCGCCTGGATCGTCATAAAAACTCTTCACAAACGCACCCCTGCTTTGGTAAACTGACACCTGCTCTGAACCAATACGATCCTCTGCATTCAGGTCGTAAGTTTATTTTTAGCAAAGTGTGACTGGGTCAGATTCTGCGCCATGACCAGAAGTTTTATTTTGTTAAAGTTAAAGACGTGCAGCTTTCTGTTGTTATAGTCTTGTGCATTGTTTCATTATTATTATTATTATTATTATTATTATTATTATTATTATTATTATTATTATTATTATTATTATTATTATTATTATTATTATTATTATTATTATTATTATTATTATTATTATTATTATTATTATTATTATTATTATTATTATTATTAATCTTTATGTATCGTTTTAAACACTTTAAGAACTGTTTGTGTAAACACTTCAATTTCCCCTTTGCAGGACAATAAAGACAGTTTCTATTCTATTACATACTAATATTTTGATGCTGTTCATCTGAAAAATGTACAATTATATTATATATTTGAAGCATTTACAGATGAGTAAAAAAATCCCTATTTACAATTTATTTACAATAAAAATAGAAGCCATAAATTACATTGTACCTGTCTACATATTTATGTGCTTATTGCCCTTCAGATTTATTTATGACGCTGCACGTCACCTGCTTCAGGAACATATTTCAGATTTTTAGCAAAGGACCGAGAGGAGACCAAAACACAGTCTTTCTACAAAAAAAGACTATTACATTATAACAAACCTGGCACCAGAACCTCACTTTTAAAATTCAGGGCTACTTCTTTACAAACCAAAGAGTCTGTCTTTATAGTCAACCTTCTTCTCTGTCATGTTTAGTCCAGCATATCCTTCATGTTGATTCTCCAGCAGAAGTTTTTATATGACATCTTTTTGTGAATTCATCCACGTTTTTTTTAACAAAAGGGTTTTGATAACCTCCACTTCCTTCAGATATTCCTCCTCCATTCTGTCCGTGTCGTACCTGCCTCTTCTACGGTCAGTTCAGTTGTGAGCGACTGGCTCTGAGAGGGAAGCAGAAACAGAGGAAGCCCTTGAAGCAGCTCTGGAAGTTTATCGTCGCTGCTGTGATTCTTTGTTTGGTGGGAGTCGATTTTCACCAGAACAAAGCGCTCGGCCGCCCTGCCCAGCTTCTTGTGGGCCTGAATGATGAACAATGAGGCCATAAATAGATCAGAATAAGGTGATTTCATCTGTTGCTGACCCTTTCCTCCTCCGCCGTTGTTCAAGAGGGTCCACTCTTCGGTTTTTTCTAAGGCTTTCTGGGTGAGAACCAGCAAAACTCGACCACCCATGTTGTCCAGCTTCTGGAGTTGGGAGTAGAGCCATGGCAGAGGTCCCATTGTGCATTGATCCTTCCTGCACCACTGGTCCACAGACACACTGAAGCCTTGGCTGCAGAGCTGGGAACCCAGCAGACAAACTGACTCTGAAACAGCGTCATCCAAATCTGGGGGGCTCAGCAGAACCACATGGCCCTTCCTGCCGACTTGAGAGAGAAAAAGGAAAACTAAATCCAGATATGTCCTGCATGATTATAAACAAAATAATTTTACATAGAGAAAAAAAAAACTCTTACTCTTTACGAATCCACCGTGCCGCCAGCTCCACACCCACTCTGCAAAAATCAGAGTAAATAAAATAAATATACCTGAAGATTTAGCAGATCTGCTTATTGAATATCTATCTTTCTTGTGTTTGATGCTTCAAAAAAGTATGACGCAAAGAGGTTTTAAAATCTAATAAACATGCCGTGGTTTATGGGGCAAATGAAAAGAGCTTTTGACAGATATGCTGGGGGCAAATTCCAACCCAAACACGCAATGCTTTGTCATAAAGTTATAAATTATACTGTGGGTAAGTTGGACAATGCACTGTCTTTTTGTGTGTATTTCTTCAAATTGATTTTTAAGCTTGTGCATTTACAAAAAAAAACGAATGACCTCAAGAAGTCAATTTGTTTTGGTAATTCAAGCTTCTAAAGAGAAATCCCGGAAGCTTTAAACAAAATATGAAAAAAATGAAACTTACTCTTCACATAATCACGCAGGTAATGAATCATTAATGCTGTCAGACAACCAACCAGTACAACACCGATAATCAGGAGAGTCCAGCGCCATCTGCGAGCTGCAATAAAAACAGGTTTAAAAATAACTTTTTCAGATAAAAAAAAAGTTGTGGTTGGATTGTAAAAGAAAAGAAAACATCATCCTGCTGCCAGAATTAACAGCTAAACCTTTCACACTTACTGTCAGATGTACAAAATGGACCAAATTCCTGATGTGCTCCCTTTATTTTCACCTTCACAGATAATTAAAAACAGTTTGGTTATTACACATCGCTAACTGAGCGGATATTTAACTGGAGGGCTTGTGTAAATATTTACCATCACACACTGGGAAACGCTTTCATCAACGTTTTCAAATGCCCCTGGTTTTTCCTGAAAGGTACACAGAGGTAAATTATTAGTGATACTTTGCACTTTGACAATGTTCCAGAGCTTTGTTCACAATATCACTAGTTATTTCAGATTTGAATTTCCTGGAGGTATGCGACTGATGGCGCTCATGATGTTTGCAATGCTATTGTTAGAATATTGTACAAATTTAAGCATGAACAGTATTTAATGAATTCAAATCAGAAATGAGAAAGAATGATACAGGGGGAAAAATAACTTAATCAGGCCAAAAACTGGGGATAATATATTTTGCTTTTCAAAGAAAGACAAAGAAATACAACACTGTTCATGTACTTATGCTGTTCTTACCCAAAGTCCCATTTTGTTTTGTTTCCAGTTGTTCACATCAGAAAGATTTTCGTTGCTGCTCGGTTTGTGACAAAGCGACACTTCACCATCCAGCCTGCAGGGGGCAGTAAGGTTCCATAGAAGGACTGTGTTCCTGTCACCAATTTTGCTCAGGCGCACATTCACCGAGACGTTTTTCCACATGATGTGTTGTAAATGAGGTGGCAATCCTTTAAACGACAAAAAAAAGACAATTTTTACAGATGATCTGCCCTCCTCTGCTTAATGTTGTTAAGAGGATGAGAAACATTTCGAAGAGATAATGCTACCTTTTTTCTCAAAGGGGCATAATTGAGAACGCACAACTCCCTCATCATCTTTATCCCACACCTAAACATCACAAATACACCAAAGCGTGTCATTACGTCAGTGAAAACAAGAGTAACTATTGATATCTCATGGTTTGGGCAAAAACATGAAGAGAACCTGTATGCACATGCAAGGTGCCACAGAATGAATAGGGATGGTGGTCTGGGCCAGACTCTGTTCAGGAACAGAAACAAAACATCAGTGTTAATGAAAGCTGGTGGTGTAGTCTGGGCTACACCAAATGTCAAATTTGCTGATTTAGTTTTGCGACTATTCATATTATTCACGCAACATTAAAAACAAATTAACACAGAAACTGTCCATCCAGTTTGACCTGAGCCTTCAAGTCTAGATTACACAATAAATGTCTTGCATTTGCAGTAGTAGACAAATGCTCTAGTCTTTTCAGAAGTTATTTGTAAAAAGAAATAATTAAAAAACTTAAACGTCATGCCTGTTTTTTCTTCCATGTTACAGTTATGTCCTACTTTGTTTTGGTCTGAGATAATAAAAAAAAAAAAAATGGACAAAATGTGAAAAGATTGTAAAGTTTAGTCTTCAAAAACAACATGTTTATCAGAATACACTTCAGCTTTGTTATTCAGCTTTTTGTTCAACAAGCCTGAATGAATTATGAATGATTAAATCTGACAATTTTTTTTTTTTTACAATATTATTGCTAATATTTCCTAAACTCTACTTAGTAAACAATTTGTCCTTGAGACTTTACACATACAGTCCCACTCCCATCCTGTAACTGAACCCATTCATAACACTAACCAGACAGCGTCCGTTCTCCTCGTATTTGATGCAGAGTGAGGGACGCGACTTGTTGCCCACAATCTGCAGCTCAACATCATTTTCCTTGATTACTGGATTGATGTGGAATATTGGCACTGAAACATTGAAAATCAAATATTGTCATTTTTTAAAAGATGTACATCCCAGGAAAAAAGTTAAGAGGCCACTTAAAATGATCAGTTTCTCTGATTTTACTTGAGTAAAATGTACATTATTATTTTATTCTATGAACTACTGACAACATGTCTCCGAAATTACAAGTAAATTTATTTACAGAAAATGAGAAATGGTCGAAAAATAACAATAAATACGCAGTGCTGTCAGACCTTGCATAATGCAAAGAAAACAAGTCAATTTTTATTTAGAAACAACAACACTAATGTTTTAGCTCCGGAAGAGTTCAGAAATCAATATTGGGTCTCTTAATTTTTCTCCAGAGCTGTATATGTTATACAAAAAATAAAAATTTAATTTCAGTTAAGGTTTGATTTTTCAGGGTTTTTTTTCTTTACCTGGACACATGGGTATGCGTTTCTGGAAAAATTCCTGGGAACACACTGTGGACAAAGAGAAACATGTGTCATAAAGCTGAACATGTTTTGACCTGCTGCTCAAAGGAAATCATCCGGTTTCTTGTTATGCAATTGAAACTTGATGGTGAAACAATGCCCTCATTAAGTATTGCCACATACTAGCTGTTTAGTTCAGCTCACGTTTTGACATAAACGTAAATAATAAAAGAAAAAAGTATTAAGTGTTTAACGCTGTACCATTCTTTTCTGAAGGCGCATCAAGTCGCATGTTGCTGTAAACGGTTATTTGGCTTCCGAAATGAAACTCGTCTGTGATCACCATGGTTATCTGTCAAGATCACATGTACAAAACAAACTGTGAATGAGGTGCTTAAGTTGAAACTCTTCAGCCGTACAAAGTAGATGGAAATTTGCAGTACCTTGCTCTTGTTCTGGTGAGCAAGAGAGGTGTGATTAACTGTAAACTCCACCTTCTTGCATCTGGGAATGGTGCTGGCTGGATGTTGGTAACATGCCGTCACAGAAGCTATTACAACAGAAAAACCACAGCGAAGGTGAGGCAATAAAAGGACTGAGACAGCAGTGAAACAACTGATGTCTCAGAAAACAACTTCTCCTTTTTGCTTTTCTCCTGTTTGTCTGTGTTATATGTGGAAAATGAATATTAAGAACAAAAGTCTTTCTTATTTGCTGACATGCTATCA